TAAGAATCAATTTACCATATTTTCTGTTGACGTTCATAAGTGTATTTACCTATACCCCAAATCCCAACTAAATATTACATGTAAAATCTTTTAAACTATAATAATAGCTATTTTCTAAGGTCTGCCAAGGATTGAGAGACGTGGAAACAATTGGGGGAGGCCTATGTCGACAGACAACCTGACCAAAGTGGTTGGTAATAAATTATTATTTTCGCTATGTAAATTAGATTTAAGAATACTACTGTTTAATAAGAATAGCATCAGTCAGCGAATAAAGGGCTTTTATTATTAATAGCTAGTTTAATAATAATTAATATTTCAGGGTTATATCCTTGGTTAGGCCTAGTTTTAGGCAGTGTCGGTTTTAATTTACTACAGATTAGCTTATCTCATATCACGTCTGATAAGCGTGTTCCTTTTCTGAGCCATTTATGGTCTCGGGATTAGCAATCATAAAGTATTAAATACTACAATTAGTATGGAATGTCGAATTTCTTTTACCACTTATGGCAATAAGTAAAAGCCTTCAAGTGGGCATTTTTGACATTTTAAGGGTTTAAGATTCTTACAGTGTCTCTTTGGTACAATTGGGGTTTGGATGTTATATATTTATTTCCCACATAATTATATAGTTACTAGCTGATCCGGCAAACGCCGTTTTGCCATGTATATCATTTATAATAAAAAATAGGGGTTGATCGTAGAGGGGTGAAAATTAGGGGTTGTATGTATTTTTTAATGCTGTATCATAAAAAAATTAAAATTTTATCTAAAAATTAATAAAAAAAAATTAGGGGTGGACTACCCTTAACATTTAGGGGGTTGAAAAATAGATGTCCGATTCTCAGACATACCCAATATGCACACAAAATTTCATGAGAATCGGTCAAGCCGTTTCGGAGGAGTTTAACTACAAACACCGCGACACGAGAATTTTATATATAAGATTACTAATACGATAGAACTACACGATAATTCTACAATTAAAATAACATTTAATTATCTTTATAACTAATAATAAAACAAGCAACTCTTGTAAACTCAGCCAGTGTAAAACAAATAGGTGTACCTCGATAGAAATCTTATTTATTACATGTATCGCGTAAGTGGCGTCTCGCTAAAGTTAAAGTGTGCGCGCGGTACATCTTAAAGTTGTCTTCGGCCTCAGGTACTTGCTTGAAACCCGTAGACCCGGATCCAAAATTATTAACCGGGAAACGGTTAAAAACACCACGCTAATAATCTGTAACTCTCAGCGATTACGATCATGAAATAAATATCAAGTATTTACCGCAATTTTGCGACATCATCAACGAAAGAATTATATCGAAGTTGAATATTTGCGATAAATCGCTGTTTCTACCGTAGGCTTCTATTTTAGGTAACTTTAGTGTCTGCTGATTGTGCGATATATGCGCTTATAAGTTCGCTTAGATAATGCATTGATAAAGCGATCGCGCTAGTATTAGTTGCCCTTTTTCGTGCCTGTATCTCCGCTTTTTTTGTTAATTATTTATTTATTAACACTTAGTTGCATTACATATTTAATATATTATACAGTCTTTATTGCTAACAGGATACTAAGAACTAGTAAGAGTAACGTGGATTAATAATAATATATAATTTAAAAAATGAAATCACAGATATAGCATACAACTACAAAAAAGCTAAACTTAAGAGTCATGAAACACGATGCTAGGTTCTCAAATACGTCAAAATAATATATTTACAATTACAAAAAAAAATATAATTACAATAGTCACGATAGATAGATACAGAAAATATATGGTTTTTCGGTTTTTTTTTGGGACACAATAAATAATTGGAAGTACCGGTTATACTTGGCCCCATCTTACTTGTATCTCCAAATATATTATGTTTAAATTATCCTATTTTAAGTTTGCATAAACTCTTTGATGAAAAAGCACGTCTGACGATAATGTATTACTTAAATTATGGTAATTACAACCTTGCAGGAAACAATTACAGATAACGATTTTCATTAAAAAATTGGACTAAACATAGAAAACACTTAAAACAATTTGCAATATAGGATATGTAAAATATATGTGCTATTCTCTTTGATCTCAAAGATGCAATAAATTTGTGTCTATAGATTTATAAAAACAAATTGTGTGAAGTTAAGTCAGCCCCACTTAAACTTTGAAAGGTTGTTCATAAAATAAATATAAATCAGTGGCGCTACAACCTTTTTAGGTCTCGGCTTCAGATTTCTGTATCTGTTTCATGATCATTTATCAATCTAATAGGCAAGTAGCCTCCTGTGCTTGACACACGCCGTCGAGATTTAGTTCGAACGAATGTTGCACACATAGAAAGGTGCACAGCCGATTGGATTCGATCGAACCTACAACCTCAGGGATGAGAGTCGCACGCTGAAGCCACAAGGCCAACCAACACTGCTATTTTCTCTGTTAATGTTCATATAAAAAAAGAGTGGCGGAGAGTTTATTGGCAGTTTTTCTCGTCCGATCTAAGCCCTACGTAAATGTAAAATTAGAAGCATTTAACATTTAATATGTATTTCTTTAATGACGTTCATAAGTGTACATTGTGTTACCTAAATGAATAAATGATTTTGAATTTTTGAATTTGAATATAAATGCGAGTTCCACGATTTGGAACATCCATTTTCCTCATGTAATTATTTCTATAACATTACTGTGGTCATATATTATCTATGTTAATGGTATATTGTCCTTATGACGTTTATAATTAGTTTTCCTATACCTGCTAATAATTACAAAATCACAGCTTGTCCAGCTTGGGGAATTAGGCACGAATTCAGAACTTTAAAAAAGGTAAGTACTGGAAGGTGACACAACTCAGATTGACCAGGGCAGCAGAAAATATATATGTTTCAATTACTAAGTATGATCTCTTCTACACATAAGTGGAACCAGTAATGGCAAATTGCCAGCGTTTGAAACCTTATCATCTCGAACAACGTGACCCAAATTTTGGTTAAGAAAGAACTTCAACGAACAGTACAAAAAATCAATATTCAAATCAGTGTTTTTCAAATTGAGAGCAGTGTTAGCCTATTGGCGTCATTCTTTCTATGTGTGCATTTAACATTTGCTCGAACGGTGAAGGAAAACATTGTGAGGAAACCGACATGTCTTAGACCCAAAAAGTCGACGGCGTGTGACGAAAACTGGAGGCTCAAAACCGACTTGCCTATTAGATTTAAAAATTGATCATGAAACAGATTCAGAAATCTGAAGCCAAGACCTAAAGAGCTTGTAGCGCCACAGATTAATTTTTATTTTCAAATTGATGTGCGTTATATTTTTTTAAATACAGAACTGGACAGACGATTGGCCACAATCCCACCTGATGTTAAGTGCACATCTCACTGCGTATTGGAGAGCACACCTGTCCAGGTGTCTTTCAACCGCCGCATGAATGAACCCATATCATACTGACTAGGGAAGATGGAAGGAGGCAAAGAGTTCCACTCAATAATAATGTATGTTTCTTCCATAGACAACCAAGACGTAAACTAAACATTCTTAATAAAAAAAATATCATGCTAAAAGAGTTACAACAATCTTCCAACTTACGGTAACTTTGTTTATCATATCAATGATGTTTTAGTTATTATTTTTTTCCCGTGCTAACTTGTTTATGTTCTAATATAATTGATGTGTATGTGTTTAAAATTTGTGATGTCATATTTTCTTGTATAATTTTATGCATACACGTTGTTTTAGAACTTATAAATAAATAAATAATTTTTTTACACAGCGAGCTAATTACTAGCTAACAAAACTACGTATTATATACTTAACGTTATACTACGTTTGATACTATTTTTTAATTTATTTATCAAAAGGGTCGAGTACAACCAAATATACAAAACAATATAATATAGTCTTAAAACTCCCAATATGAAAGACGCAAATAGGTATATATTTCTTTTCCTGCCTATTTTCACCATGAAAGTCTTAATACGGATTTCAGATTAAAGGGAACGGGACTTGTTCAAAGTGCGGAGCCAAAAGAATTTTAGCGAATACCATTTAATTATTAACGAAGCCTAATATTTTACATTTTTATTTTTTGATTAGGTTCTTTTTGTCAACTGCTTTTAATGATAAATGTTATATAAGAGAAATTTCTTTATTATATTGCTTTTATGAACCTTGTAAATGAAATGAATCATTTATAATTTTTATTTCAATAAACATATTTATTTTATTTTCTAGTAATTATATTTATAAGTGGATAACTTACTTTATAATAAAAAATATTAAATAATAATTCAAAACAATAGTCATAATTATTAACAACCATTTTATTATACGTATAAAAAGAATTAATTAATTAAAATCTTGATTTCAATACCATCATTTTTGTATATTTTATACTAAAATAAAAAATCGTACGTTTCTGTAATTTAGGCTAAATGAGATTTCAGCATGACTAACACGATTCATCGGTATGTAATTAGCATTTTAGCCGGTTAAGGTATCAAGTCGTTAAGTCTAGACGTAACCTGCAGACCGCAAAGCAACTCGGCCGGTATGGTCTAGATTCCCGTCTAGCCAGCGGACCAGCACGCATGCGCCATGCACTTATACAACAGAAATCCATTTTTAATTCAAGAATACCCCAAAACGTGCGCCTAATTTATTCCCCCGTCGGATTCCACAGGAACATATAGGTACGCAATTGCCAATTCTGCCACTTCCTTCAACTTTAAATTGTTTAATTTACCGCTACACTCCTTACGAGTGTGACGTAACAGGCTGCCCATACTCCTTTGAGCCCAGCCCGAGAATAATAACCCCATCAATACCGCAAAACCGGAATGCGAAACGTGTTCAAGTACGAAAACCCACATGAAAATACTAAACTTCACTCGCCATCACTCGGTACCGGCGAATCAAATTCAAGGACCATGTCTCAGTTAATTTTAGCCGCGTTACGAACGTAAAAGATGCCGGCACATTGTTACCAAGTTACATAAGAGATCAGCTGTTCGTGGATTTACTTACCATGTCGTTGTTCTCCACGATCCAATTGATGGAGCATATTTGGTAGACGAAATATGCCCGGATCAGTTCACTGGTCTTTTTACTTTTGAACGCGTCTTTCGGGTTGCTGAATGTTAGATCTAGGTCGTCTTTACCCTGGGATGATGTAGAAAGCACTCGAATCCCGCGTGGAGCGTTCACTGCCAGCCTACGTAGCAGAGCCATGTTTAAAAGCTCCGCGCACTGAACACTAGATTTCACACACGTCCACCCCGCTTGGCTGACAACTGACAACTGAATTTGAAAAGTTGATGACAGTGACGTATAAGTAGTAGCGCTCGATACCACGATACGGCATGCGCACGCAGTGTTCCAATTTTAAATCCATCGGAGGTGTGTCTGTGTTGAGGCACATGATAGGTGGATTTTCGCAGCGATATTTCATTCTTTGCTAACTTCACTTTATTAAAGTATTGAGAAATTTATGGCACTCAATGCTGAAATACGTTATACGATCAATATAGCGAGTGCAGTAACTAACGGCAGGCGCCAAGCAGTGAATCAATTGCAGGGTGCAACGAAGCACGCAAATTTAATAAAATCGTGATATATCATTTAAGATTATTACAATTACCATATTTTTTTTATACTTTTGTGTTTAAATTTCCTAAATTGAATATTGATTTTAAAGCTAAGTGTAAAATTGAAAAATCTAAGAAAAATAATATATGAATCAATAAATAATAAACTACACTGTTTAAATAAACGAAAGCAATTTCCAAATACATAATTAACTATTATCGCTAGGTATTTCCAGGCTCTTATTTCCACGATAGGATAGATAAAATCAATTATAAAACACTTATTCACTCCAAATATTCATAAGGGTTTTCCCAATTAATGTTCTTTGTTTTCTAGTGTTTCAGTTTCATCTAACTGTCAATAATTTTCAGACAACAAAGTATCGAGAATATATTTACGGAGTTATGTAATTGAGTGTAGAATAATGAATGAGCTCTTTGAATATAATTGATTATTTGATTCAACATAGTTTTATAATTGGTACAGTGACTACAAGAATCATAATATACACTAATATATATCTGACGGAGTTATTTTTGTCTATGGTTGAACGCCATCAACAACTCAATCATAGTTACTTTTTTGACCTACAGGGTCGAATTGAAAAAGAATTTTTTGATGAAGTCCATATATTGTGAAAGGCTATATAAATTCAGGCCACGAATTTACTCATTATTTTTTCCGCTATTTAAAACTTACTATATTATTGTTAACTATTAGGTCTTGCGTAATCGGTCGTTTGTATTACGCAGGCTATCTGTAATAAAGGTTTTAAATTAAGGATGTAGTTTACGGAAAATCAAAAATGACTTGCAGGATATTGATGAATTATAGAAAATCATTTAACAGAATGTATAACATAATAAACCAGAATCGTAGTCCGGATATTATTTTTATTGGTAAGCTTAGCTGATTTTACTAGTCAGAATGTCTAAGAACAAATTCAAATGTGTATTGAGTATTCCACGCGCTCCAGGTAGACAACTAGACATCAAATGATAAGTACTAATTTTACATAAAATAATCTTTGCCTCAAAAAGTATATCGACTAATCGGTTTAGACTCATACCTTGTCTGATAATGTATTGAAACGATAACTATTTATAGATATTCTAAAACCTATCACACACTTCAAGAATGTTTTTTTATTTATATTACTAGAAATGGAATATGACATATCGTATAAAAAATTAAATGATTAATCATTGTGAGATTCGAACTATAAAGGTTCATAAAAAAAGTTTTGCCGTAAAGTGTGACGTTTGAAGTATTGACATAATAAACGTCTTTATTGTTTTTAATATTTTGACATTTGACATAGCTAATTGTAAAGTTTTTTGCCATCCATCTTTGATCTTTCATCTTATGCTCCACTTTATTGTCCTCTTACCAGGCATATGAGACAAAATTACTTTTCGATTACCGTGACCAACAACCGCCAAAGGAATTTGTATGAGAAAGACATTAGTTCACGCTATGGCACGTGTCCATTTCCTTACAAACTTGTTTGACGGTAGCGGGTCTCGCCCAGGCCATAACATCCCCAAAATAAAAACATAAGTAATAATTGAATATATAAAAACAAAACATTAACACAGCAAATATCACAGACATTTACATAATTTTACTCAAAACTTAATTAATTATTTTTATTTTTAAAGACAATTCATACCAATTGACCTAGTCCCATGCTAAGCTGGTGAAGCTTGTGTTATGGGTACTAGGCAACGGATATACATACATATTATAGATAGATAGACATATATCATATATATATAATACATATTTAAACACTCAAGACCGCAGCACAACACCAAATGCTCATCACATCGATGTTCGTCTCAGCCGGGGATCGAACCCGGGACCCATGGATTCGCAGTCAGGGGTACTAACCACTAGACCAATGAGTCGTCAAATATTGTTTTTTTTTTAAATTTTATAAAGTACAGCAAGCTCGTTATTCTGATTTATTTGTTAACTAAAAAATGGAATAGTTAGATTTCTGCCAAGTAAATTATCAAAATTAACTAACGATTTGATACCATTGTGAAATCATATTATATCAAAGCTGTATGTGGCTGAGAATTTCCCTATCTTTCATTCAATTTTTATTTTGAAGTGGAAATTTTTGTTTTTCCGACAGAAAATTCCGTCGATATTACTTGAAAATGTCTGAGATAACATTGTCATGTCTTTTGATTGCCATATTAATCACGCATAGCTGTCTTGATTAGGGCTTCAGCTTGCGACTCTCAACCATGAGGGCGTAGGTTCAAACTTTTTTTGGCAATCAGCACTCGCTCGGACATAAGAAAACCGGTATGCCTTGGCTCCTAAGACGACAGGGTGTTTCAGGCACAGGAGAAAGTTAAAATGATCACAAAAAAATACAGAAGTATCTTAACATGTTGCGGTGGAACTTTTTTTGTAGGCACGCTAAAATAAAACAAAAATCAATTCACATATTATGACGTCGCAGTGATGTTACTGGTAGATATCGCGATGTTTTATTGTTAATAATAATTAAGTATATAAAGTACGAGATACTAAGCTTATTAACTATTATTATAAGGGTAAGGTAAAGAAATAACACACAAAACTTCAGTGTATAGCGTCTTTTCTTATTCACTAAAATATTATATTTTTAAAATATATACTTGACTAAATATACCTCTACGGCCTATAAAATGCTTCGAAACTAACGACCGTACTAAAACATCTATCTTAAACTAATTCACTTACATCAACTACCAATTTTATTTACAATTTGATATCGGTATGCACCTAAATTAGTTTGTCGCTTCGTGTGCGCTTGTGCTCGTTCGTTTTAAATTTAGAAAAAATAATTTCGAATCTCGCTGCCTTAACGGGTATAATTTTAAATCGAACGTGCATCATTTAACATTATTAATGTACTTATTACAATTAACTATAGCTGAGTTAAATTTGGCGAATTAAAAATTACTGTGGAATCCGTAAACAAATACCGAATTTAACGACTAAATTGCTAGCTAGCAATAAAACGAAGATGACAAGGAAACAATCCTTTTGCAATAACAAATAATTTACGTTAAAAGCAAAAAGCGTAAAATTGATATAATTCGTAACTAAATGAATGAGATTCACATATAAAAATCGTGAAAAAAAATCAATAATATGCTCTTTAGGAAAGCTATATAAATGCTAGTCAATAATTAAAATAATATAATGGATAAAATTATTATAAATCTTGATTTATTTTACCTTAAATGTAATAGCAAGGTTTAGAAAACTCATTTTGTAGTCACTATAGTACGCGTGAACGTATACGCGTATGCGTACATTCGAGTATACGCGTATACGTACGTCACTGAACCTCGCTCTAATTTTGTCATCACAGCCCCTATTTACAAAGCCGATATCCAAATAAAAATTCATAACCTGTACAAAATTAATAGGACTCGCACACTATAATATTATATACATAAACTATTAGTCACTAATGTCCAACGACTTGGTGTTATTTTGATAGTCATCTTTTAAACGCTACATGTATAAAAATTCTATAAATTCATAGATATAGATTTAGTAAGAATAATCAGCATGACGCCATTATAACTAGCTTTTTTAATCTAGGAAAACGTATACGTCACTCTGACGTTAAAATGGTATAACGTAATCTACTAAATCGACATCTATGCTGACTTAAATATTCTGCTAGTAAATGAAAACACACACATATACAATAATTATTGTTTAGGCACAGACGAACATTTCTGGGTGCCAAGCCATCTACCTAAGCGAGGGTTTACATTCCTACTTTAGCCAATATAAAATAAATTATCCGCTATATTTTGCTCTCCAAGTATTGTCTACTCAAAGTCATACAGGCATGGCAGGGCTATTCTTTAATACCGATGTTTGAAATTCGGTGGTACGATATCGAAACGATATTAGAGTGTAGTAAGCCTGCTGAAACGGAAGTACCCCAGGTACTGTATGACAAATTTTACTAAAACCTAAGGAAATTGAGGAAATCATTTTATGTTCATGATTTCCTCAATCAAAAAATTCCTGAAATTATTTCTATTTCAATATTATTATCTCCTGTATTGAGGGTACTTGTTTTTACGCTTTGTAGTCTACCCACATTTTTTAAATCATGAATACAATCTTTTTTTAAATCTCAAACAAAAGTGAAGTTAAGCTTGAAAAAGGTGAAGAAAAACTTAATCAAAACATATTTTCTGTAGAATATATTGGCTACTAGCAGACACTATGTTTTTTTTAAAGACATAATTTCAGGGAACAGTTTAAAGACGCTGTAAACAAAAATTAAACCCAGTATAATTAGTTTAATTTGCGTTTTTATTTGAGATTTAAAGTAGGATTTTCTCCACCTTAAAAATACATTTAAAAACCAAATAAATATGTATAAAATATAATAATTGCAGACATTATTATCCCTCACCTACCATCAGGGATGATAAACGTTTGGTTCCAAATTTGGAAGCTCAAATAGTGACTAGCTTCTGAAATACAAGTCAAGGTTCGGTTTGATTTTATCGCAATTCAATAAATAATTTACGGTAACAAAAATCACAGTGCAAGCCTTAAGTATAAATTCGTAACACAACTAGACCAAACGTTATCACCCCTGTTACACACGCTTATTTTTTTTTTAATTTTGACCTAAAATTAGTAGGAAATTTTGGGACCAATTTGATCCAAGAAAGCTGAAGTGACTTGATTTTTATCGGTAAACTAGGTGTTCCATGAAACCAAAACCGCAATATCGACCATTTGAAAGAGACAATCGGCTAATCTCGGAATCGTAGAGCGTTATCTCTGTCGCACACCATTTAATAGTTCATGCGTACAACAATGAAGTACTTAGTTCCGAATCGAAATTTTACTAAACCATAAATCTAATAATTGATGGACTACTCTGTTTATAGTCATAGCCTTTTAAAAAAAAATCCTGAATTTGTATAATTTAACAGAAAGTTTAATTAAACAAATTTTAGTTAAGTTATAATATAAATGGAAAAATTTAATTCTAAGCATTAAAAAAATGGGTTCCAAATGGCTCTTAGACCATTATGTCTGTTTGTGTATTCCACTTTATAACAAACTAGGGCCCATATTCTAGTAAGTATCTCAAATCACAATCTCATCTTGAGCGCTGATTTGTTTAACTTCATACTGAAAAAATGGTTTGACATCTCTTTAACAGATTTCAGTTTGATTGCCGTTCCAGACAGAGTTCATCAACCAGAGTTGATGGTTATAATTATCTATTCTGAGAACCGATCTTTTTAACATTACTTTAATTATATCAATTAATAAATACATTTTTACTTTCAGCATTGGTTTCACCGGAACACCCATTAGTTTTAGATTTCTAGGCCCGCAGAAATCAAAGCCACCCCGCTTGAACCCGGACCTTTGTCGAAGCACTTTCTAGAAGGTCCCACCACTCACTGTACCGATATTGTCTGTCCTACCACGGGCATTGTGGATTACCTGAAAAGAGAGCGATTTTACAATTTAATTTAATTGTATTTATTATAATTAACTATTATTAAAACTGAGGTTTATTTAAGACAGTTACAGCCGCGCACCATCACTATGAGGAACCAGCTGCCCACTAAAGTATTTCCGAACCAATACGACTTATAATTAATACATCCTTCAAGAAAAGAGCGTACCAATTCATAAAAGGCCGGCAACGCACTTCGGCTGTTTGAGTGTCTATCGGCGTTATCAGATGAGCCTCCTGACCGTTATATTTAAAAAAGACCCCTCAAACCACTGAACGGATTTTAAGACTCATTTCTTAAAGTTAAAAAAAATATCAAAATCTGTTACATTTTTGGTAATATAAAACTCACTGCGAGTCAGACTCGTCATTGACGCTGGACCGCAGCTTGGAGACCGTCCTCCTCGCTGCAGGAGTGCCGTCTTCCTCATCCGACGATATGACGATGCGCTGACGGGGCTTCACACCCGTCGCTCCGCGGGTCATTCTTCGGGCCACTGCCTCCGTGCCTGAAAAAAATAGGTAATATATATTTTTATAGTTTTTGGTGATATTAAACGGACCTTTTAACAAAATTATTAAGATTTTGTATTCGAATATAGAGAAGATTGGAAAATATTACCGACTAGAGACAAATGGAAGAATTTGGAGAAGGCTTTTACTCCGTCATCAGATCCTGTACTAGTTTTAAATATAAACTTAAAATAATTCTTATTAGATTATAGAACTATATACTGTACTCTCCCCTATCACGTGGTACCCCTATATCGCGTTTTCCGGAATCTATATAACGCGAAAGTTCCCCTATATAACGCGAAGATTTCTCAAGTTATTTAACTGTAGTGTGAAATTTATAATAAACTTTTGAAGTCCATAATTAGTTTTGCTTACCTTTGCACCTGTTTCAATTGTGTAGTTGTAAAATTAAACTAAATAAATTCGTGTTCCTAGAGAAAAAAGGAGAATACCTACAACGCGATTTCCTATAACGCGCTCCGGGTCAACGCGTTATACTGATATTGTACTCGAAAATGGGCTAAATTAATTTCAAATTGTTTAAATTGAAAACACAAAATAATTTTAGTTCTAGAAATAAACCGACCATCTTCTTCCGACTTCTTGGCTTTCGCATCCTTCTTGGCCTGCTTCTCTTGTTCCTTTTTGTCCATTTTCGCTTGTTTTATCGCCCTACACTTCTCCAGAGTGGGCTTTCCTTCCAGACCGGCCGCTTCCAGTAAATCCTGCATTTTCGCCACTCGCTCCTTGTTCTTTGTGCAACCTAAACAATCACAATTAAAACTTTTAGATTAGTTTTCAAAATTAAAAATTTGCTAGAAAGGTAGTCTTAAAAATTATAAATATGGAGGGTAGGATAAAACAAACTTAATAAACCTTGCCACCCGTACTTTATAATAAACTATTGTACGTTAATTCAGGTAATTATACTATACACTTTATGAGAACAATAGAGTACATCAAAAAAATTATTGTATGATGTGATTTCTTTAATCGTAAATATATTTTCGTTGGCGCTGAATCGATGTATAATTTAGATGATGTGCAATTGATTAGTCAAGTTACTAAATATACAAACTGCAAAAAGCAATAAAAAAATTTTTTTTAAATATATTAATAAAGAAATATAAATTGTACTTTACTTTGATACTATGTCATTTTTTTTAAATGTACATAGGGTCAATGTTCCTATATTTATTGTAATAAAATTATCTCAGTCAATTGTGTCTGATTTCTAACATTATTTATTTATATATTTCCTGTTTTTACAAATACAATAGAAAACTTATTTATATAAAAATTAAACCACAAACACAATATAAACAAAACAAGAAAACGTAGAGGGGTGAAAATGAAGGGTTGTATGTGGTTTTTTAATGCCACATAATTTTAAAAAAAAATATCCAAAAAATTACAATTAAATTTCTAAAGCAGATACACCTTATCACTTAAGGGTTCGAAATATAGTAGCCGATTCTCAGATTTACTGAATATGCATAAACAATTCATAAGAATCGGTCGAGCCGTTTCGGAGGAGTATGGGAACATTGTGACACCAGAATATTTTAAGATTATAAATAGTGCAATCCTTGTGAATTCAGCCAATATCCATCTCTCAAGCAATAATAACCAAGGTGCGCAAGACATGCGTAAATGAAAATTCTGAATAACTAAAAAACACTTACCCTCAACCAACTTCTTATAGTCGAACCGAATTCCCGCAGCCTTACAGAATTTCTTCATATCCGTGATGCCCGGCTGCCTTAATTCTGGGGGCACCGGGGGCCGCCCACGGCGACCTGAGCCTGGGGTTCCAGGCACGGCTGGGGTACCGGGGGTCTTGGGCGTTGAATTCCGGGACCCCTTCGGTCGGCCAGGCCCGCGCTTTAGGGGTTGATCCTAATTATTTACGGTTCATGTGTAGTAGATAGTTTATTTAGAAACATTTCGCTCCCTTAGTACAAGGGCCTAACACCAATTTTTGGTTATGTGAGATTTTATAAGCACAAAATGAAATCAGGGGTAAATGCTGAGAAAGAAAAAGACAACAATAACTCGAGAAACATTTTTGTCTCTCTCGCACCCGTGTGTCACCCCGATCTTACCGCTAAAAGTTACTAGTTAGTGAAGTATTTTAAATATAGATTTATTAAAAAATGTGTATGTATGTACACGCGTAACAAGGTAAAAATCTTTTAAAAAATTTGATTCTACGTTTGTAGACGACACTAACAATAGAAAAAACTAAAATATTGACAATAGCTAACTTCAGGTTGTCGGTTTTTTGTGACGGTGTGTGCGCGCATCGTACAAATTTCCTCTCATCATTTTTCCCTAACGCGTCAAAAGAAGTATAACTTAAAAAAATATTAATTTAAAGACTATTCAAACATTGCTCAATTTGCAAATACGGTTTTTTTGTACCGAATAAAAAAATCAAATTTGATTAGATATTGAAAATTTCATGATTAGAGTAATAACCTGGGCCTCGGAGCCGTGGGCATCATTTGCCGGATATTTAATTCCATACTTAATCTTAACATGACTTCTTTAAAATAAAATATCACAACTATCTGTCATAATATACACTATAGGTATATTACGCAAAGTATTTAATTGGCATGTCATTTATGTTATTATCTCTATATTGCTAAAAACTACATGTACTAGGAATTATTCCTGACAGATTGTCTGCACAAATACATAATTTAACGAATTTTGGGGGGGAGGGGGGTCCTTTTGTAAAACGTAAAGATTAGCCTAGCGGTCTTATTAAGTGGCAGCTAGGTGAGGGGTACCGGGTTCGATTCCCGGTTCGAGGGCAAGTTTTAATTTAATTTAAATTTGTTCTCGGCCTTTGGGAGGGTTGTGCGGTACCGGGCGAGTGCCTAAAAAACCGTACATGGAGAACATGGTCGAATTTCTAACACAAAAAACACGAATTATAAAATTCTTATACTTGACGCTGGCTAATGCACAAACCGTGCCAGAGCCATAAAAAAAAAAACGTAACGATGCGGGGCGGGGATTGAATTACGCGTTATTTTTAATATTATTTTCGACTTTCCAGTACTTTACACAACATAATGGTAACTTTTAGGTATAAAGAGTCACTAGGTGGTCACGAAACGTTTTACTATACTTGGGTACAGTACTGTACTTGGGTTAACAAAAACACGTTACGGCGCGTTTAATGGGGGGTCAATAATCTCCAAAAATTGCGTGACGTAATACTTGAACGCTCCCATTACCATTTAATTTTAAGACTAATATACTTATTAATCTTAAAATTAGATTTAAATTATTATTAAAAAGCTTAATTTACTTAATTTACACAAAGTAAAAATATTACACAACTTTTTGTACTTAGGCGCAATATAAGTTATCTCATTATTCATACCTATGTTCAATTACAATGACATTATCAAAGAACAAATCTGTAAAGATATAATCATATAACATATCATAATCATGACTATTTTTGCATTTTAATCAAAATAAGCCGGAGTGGAATCAATCAAAATCATTGAATGGGATTTTCCAAAACTTTTCCTTAAATTATGCTATTTATTTATGGAATTATCATTTATTATATTTTCTAATAAAAGCTATATCACGTACGTTTATTAGAAGGTTAATTTAATTATCTAGACTTCGTTGTATTAAAATAAAATAACGGTAAATTTGTCCAATCACGGCTCCATCTTAAAACAGGTCCAAATTTTTCTCTACGTATTTTCATCACTCGTCAATGTTGTAAAAATAAAAAAAAATAAAATATGTTTATTATATGGAACATAAGATACATGTATCACTTATTCCACGTCATTAAATTTGAATTTGTAGGCATCCCTACTCATCGGCAAAGAAGACAGAGGGTGTAGGCCGAGAGAAAAAGCCGGCGTAAAAAACTCTCGGTACCCTTTTAAAATAGCAAATCATCAAACAACACTTATTTTAAAACAAATATAGCAAACAATAATGTGGTAATTAATATATTTTTCCATATAAATTAAAATTAAAAATTTATCGATCATGAAACAGATACAGAAATCTGAGGCCCAGACCGAATTGCTTATGCTTAGGACACCTTTTTTTTTAATTATACGAAGATAGAAAGTAGTAATAGATAAACGTTTTTTGAACAATTATTCATTTTTATTTTTTGTTTAATATTACACGTTTCTGTGTAATAAATAAAATAAAAACGCCAAGTATTGTCTTTTATTGACATAACCTTTACACATTGAAAGAAAACACTTTTTTTTATAAAAAATTCCATATACATTATTTTTTTTGATTTGTGAAATTAATGAAAGACAGTACAAATGACTAAAGCTAACCTTACCTGATCAACATACGTCACTAAGAAAAAAACCGTAACCTAATGTATTCAATGAGATCTGATCATCATTTACATCATGCATGTTATATTAAGTTTTTTAAGTTGTCCAAAGTCATGCGCCTCCATAATATTACTTACTATATACAAGTCGTTAAGACCGATGTATTTATTATTAATTTAGCAAAAAAAGCTATGGAATTACCAAGCATTAGAGGAGTCCTGAGAATCTGAATTCATTTTTAATATGATTGACTTTATAAATTTGACGAATATTTAAATGATCCTTGGGAATTATTTGTCTCAGTTCAAAATTTGACCCAATTCTTAGCGATTAATAAAAAGAGTGGCGGAGAGTTTCTTGCCAGTTCTTATTGCCAGCTCTACGCTTTTGACTTGCGAACTAATAGTAAATGTAAATTAAGAATTAATTTAACTTCTTTTTTTGACGTTCATATGTGTACTTGTTTACCTATAAGAATAAAGTTATTTTGACTTTGAAAGATAAGAGGGATTTTTACGTATATCCGAGTTAAATATATATTATAAACTAGCGGACCCGACAGACGTTGTCCTGTCTTAACTATGAATATTGATTTCAAATTGGTATAATTAATTAAAAAATATTTCAGAAACAAAGTGTTTATCATTCTAATGCTTTATGTTATACAACATTCTTTGTTTGTTTTTCTGGCTCGCATATTATTATATTATCAATATAATAGCTCCGATCGAAGCATTTATTTTAAACGATATTCATTTTCCTTACATCCTCTTTGACGATATTTGCAGCACGCATTCTGTCAATGTTATGTCAAACGCCATAAGGATACATCAAAAAGTTCGAATTGTATGGTGGTTAAATATTCTTAAATTTTCTAATTTTCCGCGCATTTTTTTTCTTTTTTTCATTTATAAGAACCTTCTCCTGACAATTACAAACACAACAAAAAAAAAATCAGACAAATCGGTCAAGCCGTTTTCATGTTATGTCGTGACAACGGAAAACGGGTTTCATTTTTATATATATAGATTATACTACTATTGAAATCAAATATACAACACTGTAGAAATAAAAACTGTACCCTTACTCAAACCAAATAATATTAATTACAAAAAGACATTATTTGAGGATTGATAGTTATCATATATTTTTTCAGAACCCAAGAACCATCTATATAAAATAAACTGCGTCGGTCGCGAAGTGGTTAAAATGGTTCATTGTTTCTATACTATATATAATATATATCAAAACATAGTTTTGAAAATAATAAATGGTTCAAACATATACATCTTTCAACTTCGATTTTGTTCCCTTTGGAGTAGACTCTCTGGGACTGTGAGGTTCAAGTACACAGGCGCTAATTAAAGATATACAGTCAAACCTGGGTAAGTGAGAAAACTCTATAAATGAGAGTAATAGCCGGGTCCCGTCATTTTAAGCTCCCAAAACTTCTATTAGCGAGAAACGGCAACCTCTGTAGGAGAGAGTAGTTTTCCCTCATGGACCTCCGTAAGTGAGACTGCTACTTATCTTTGCCTCTATAAGCGATAGTCCAGCTTTATTTATTTATATTATGTAGGTACAATAAAAATACAAGCAATATTCGACAAAATTTATGAGATAGACAAAAACAGAAACCCAAACGAAATTGACGAATTTTAGTATAAATAAGTCCAAAATAAAATATGTATGTAGGTACATAATTATATATGTTGTACACATTATGCCCATAATTATATCATATGACATATTTACTACATTCGTACTTGCTGTGACTTGCGAGAAACTCGGGTTAGTGAGTAACCTCTATAAGTGAGAATGACATTGTGCTCCCTTGATCTCTCGCTTATCCAGGTTTGACTGTAATTGGCTTGGCAGATAGTACCGGTGACTCCAAACCTGGCTCAACTAATAAGTATCGCAATTCAGCGAGGAAATGCTGCCAGCGTTAAAGGTACACTGCCACAGGGACCAAACTTTTTAAATTTGTTTAATTTTATTTTTAATTATTATTATTACTATGTAGGTTAATAAAATAGTAAATAATGTATATTTAATTGATATGATTACTAATAACACTAAATACATTTTATGAAAAATAATTACCTCATCACTTTCCTCAGAGCCACTTCCTGAAGACCCTGACGACTCATCATCAGATGATGAATCCACTGTTGTCACCTAGAAATTGTATAAACAACATTGTATCAAATATGCAGGAATTGACCTTTATATTAAATCTCTAATTTACGAGTTTGGAGAAGTGTTGGCTTAGTGGCTTCAACGCGCGACTCTCATCCGTGGGGTCGTAGTTTCGATCCCCGGCCGTGCTTGAATGGAGTTTCTTTCTATGTGCACATATTTGCATTAGCTCGAACGGTGATGGAAAACATCGTGAGAAAACCGGCTTGCCTTAGACTTAACAAGTCGACAGCGTGTGACAGGCACGGGAGGCTCATCACCTACTTGCCTATTAGATTGACAAACGATCATGAAACAGATGCAGAAATCTGAGGCCCAGACCGAAATGCTTAGGACACTTATTTTTTAATTATTCGAAGATATAAAGTAGTAATAGATAAACGTTTTTTTGAACAATTTTTCATTTTTGTTTAATATTACATGTTTCTGTGTAATAAATAAAATGAAAACGCCAAGTATTGTCTTTTATTGACATAACCTTTACACATTGAAAGAAAACACTTTTTTACCGTATTGAAGTTATGTATTATAATAAATTATATAATATTAATATAAATTTACAATTATTGTACATAATTTTAAATTTAACCGACGTTTCGCGTGCTTTACAGCGTGCGTGGTCACGGTGACTGAAGGTGTTGAATATCAAAAAGTATCACAGCTGTAGAAAAAGTTGTATTATCTGTATTTATTTCCCCGAAGTTGGTATCGACTAAAACATGGAGGGTTTTGACAGAAATGGCTCACGGTCCTCTATTATATATTTGTGATGATGGATAGACCATATTAAAGAAACAGGAGGTGTTGCAGAGAGGAATGGCGGGATTCACACAGATACACTAGGAGAGGATTAAAATGGAAATTTGTTTAAATGCATCTGAATAAAGGCTATTATTATTATTGAATAACCATGACTCACCTCACCACTGACGACTCCTCGTAACTTGGCAGCAGCCAACTTAGCAGCGGCTGCCTTCTGCGCGGCGATGTGGGCCGCTTGGCTGGCCAGCCTCTCCCTTTCGGCATTCGCGTCATAGTAATTGTATAGGACCGACAGGGGCACTGGTACGTCGCCGAAGTACACCTCGTTCGGTATGTGGGAGGAATCCAGGCAATCGTCACTCCATCGCCTGGAATTATATTGCTTTTTAAAATGAAACTTTTATTACATCGTCTCAAACTTTTTCGTCTGTGTGTCGCATGTCGCGTGACGGTCGGCCGCGGAGTAGGGATAAAGTGAAAGGCGCTCGTAATAGCAGCCGAGGCCAATATGGCGGCGCCTATAGCTGACCGTGTAGTGTATAGACTATTATTTAATATGTGTATATAATCGAAATAATTGTTAAGTATTATGTATGTCGTACTCTCTAAGACACAGAGTTCAATAAAAATATTAGTTGTAGACTTGGTCTACTTTATTATTTCCCATTATTATTCCAATTTTCCAAGTATAAAATTAAGATTGATAAAGCGATTTTTATACCCTTAATGGAATATTATTCATTTTTTTAAAGTTAAATATCTATAATGTGAAAACCACACAATCCTTTTTTATAACAGACTATTCTTTATAAGTACGTCTTTATTCGTTATAGACAGGTTTCGTTATTGTACGGCAAGAATTAATGTATGGGTGTTGGGTTGAACCGAAAAAAATAAAAAGTATTTACGTTATAGACAGTGTTTTGTTATAACGAATGACGTTATAAAGAGTTCACACTGTATATTCTTTTAAATAAGTCAAGTAAGTTTTTTGTTAATCCAGCATCTCAAGTCGCAACCCCACTACCTCTAATTTTAGTAAGTTGTAAGATCTTCAAACAAAGTGATTCATTTAACATATATTTTAACCGAACCCAATAACCTATCTCAATCCATAATCCACCATCTGAAATAGTAATCTTAATCCAAATGTTGTAATAACTGTGCCAATAACCAATCGACGGATGGTAATAGCCATCTATTGATACAAGCTATCAGGTTTTAACTTACACCAGTTTTTTAAATATTTAAAAAAACTGTTTGTTATGTTTTAAACATACACATGTATATTTTAATGTTATTTGTACGGTTTTGTTTACTTAATTTGGTTTACATTGATTATCAAATGAGAACTCGGTAAAATGGAACAACAAAGAGCATTTTATCCGTCTCCAAAAATGGATTGTCTTCGTAGGGTTTGGTTATCGGGATGCAGATAGGATCGATCGTCTGATATCAGATTGTTTTCAATCTGAGATTGTGGATTGATTATTGGGGCGTTAGGATATCTAAAAATAATGATTGAACCTCACCTTCTGAACTGTATCCCCGAGAAGTCCTTCCTAAACGGCCTGACATTGTACTGGTAGGGCACGGCCCTAGGCCTTCCCACGGGCGCAGGCGACCTCGCCCCGGGGATCCCTGGAGGCCTAACAGCAGGAAGCGCCGTCGCAGCCCCGGGGGATCCTTTAGTGGGCGTTCCGGGGGGCTTCGGTTTGTTCGTCGAGCCTTTAGGACGACCGCGTTTCTTCGGCTGTACATAAATTTTTAATTAAATCATTGAAAAAATACGTTCTATTGTCTATTTTCAGATCGTGACGTCATTAATATGTGTGTGTTTTTAAATGAAACTTCATGATATAAACGTGTTAACATTCAGTCGAGACTGTACTGTCCCGTTACGAAAATAAATCAGAATATTAAAGTCAAAGTCAAAGTCAAATCGTTTATTTCAATTAGACCATCTAAAATGGCACTTTTGAACGTCAAAAAAAAAAAATATATAAAGATGATTCTAGTTGCCCCTTCCAAAAGGTAGTTTCGTGTGGAGAAGAATGGGCAAGAAACTCCACACTTACTCTTTTAAAATAGGTTTACAATATTTTGTTACATTTGTTAAATAATTATATGTGAAGACAATGTACTCTTAGAATAAACTACTATACTAAAAAAGTTAGTATACATGTTCCTCACATATTTACAAATATCGAAACCTTAGAATATTAACATTAAAGAGTAATAAAAATATTAAAAAAACACAACAAAACAGTGTGTGAGATACTATTAATATAGAAACTGAGATTATTTTAATTTTAATTCGTAATAGTCATCTTTCGTCCAACGTGAGCGTTTTTAAGACAGTTGTTGCGCGCACCACCACTTTGTGGAACCAGCTGCCCACTAAAGTATTTCCGAACCAATTCGACTTAGGGTCCTTCAAGAAAAGAGCGTACCAATTCTTGAAAGACCCGCAACGCACTTGCGAGCCTTCTGGCAATGTAAGTATCACTTAACATCAGCTGAGCCTCCTGCCCGTTTGCCTCCTATTACATAAAAAAATCTAACTCGTGGGAATAGTGGCGAATGGAAAACTCATTTAAGTCATAAAATTACCAAAACTCTATATTTTACTATAAACCAATTACAATTTTTATTGGCCAACATTTCAAAACGGCCATATATTTTTAAAAATTGTAATCATGGTAACACGTTACTATGGGTGAGTTTCAGAAACGACACAGCGCCAACTTTCGACTCCCCGGCATGTCAAAATCCAATACATTTTTGACTAAATAGACTCAGTTCTAATAAGTATTATTTCTAAATAATACCCAATCTTTACTCCAAAATGTATTTTATTAAATCCTAGCTGCCCTCGCGAACTTCGTTTCGCCTCAATATTATTAACTTAGCCTAACATTTTAAAAGCAACTAACATATGGAACATTTTGCTATGCTACTCTTTAGACTGTAAGCTTTTCCGGACAAAATCAGGTTTTTAGGTTTTTCAATGCAATTTTTTTCATCTTTCTAGATAAAAAATCTTTTAATAAAAACCTCAAGAGTTCAAGGAATATTATAAATTTTCTCAAATTGGACCAGCCGTCTTCTAGTTTTGAGCTTAACATACAACTTTTTTTTAATTTGTTTACATAAAGGATTCAGATAAAAACTAATATAATACACTGTTATAATACTTACTTCTAATATTTTTTTTTTATGAGACTGGAATTATATATACCTCTAATCCAGGTGTAATTTTTCCAGGAGTAGAACCTCCCCGGGACAAATCTGGACTACTGAATGGTTTTCTTTCTTCTTCCCTAAATAAAAAAAAACTCGTTACAAACACTTTCGTTTTAATTTGGAGAAAATCCGTATTACACATATCGACTCCAGAAATGTGTGGATATCTCAAAAAGTACTCAACCGATTTTGATGAAACAAACTGTTCCCAAAGTTGAAATGTGTTTAAAACTCGATGTGAATTTTACGTTCCGACAAATTACTACACTACTATACACTTATGAAATTCCTTAGATTATTATACTTAAATATTATTAAATTCTAATAATACCACAATACACATCTAAATACCCTCTTTTATTGATATCGGTAAAAAATTTACAAGCGTCAGGCACGGATCAACTGCAATGTGTCTGCCATATTACGGTGTCTTAATATATAAATTATAATATTTAATATCTAGTTAAATATACTAACCCTTATTATATCATCTATAATAAATTCAACTAGTACTCATCTGTCTGCTTCAATCATAATGTCAACACAATTTGGCAGAAAGAGACAAAATACTTATTTTATAGAGCAATGTTTACAAGTTCAAAGTACTTACAATTTCTTGATAGGAGTTCCAGGATCAATTGGTCTCACCTCTCCCGATATGACACCAATTTCTAAAATCATAAAATTAAAAGATTTACAAAAATGAAACGTCTCTCATTTATTGAAATAAAATTGAGAAATGGAAAATGCTTGATTGCTAGACAATAACCTAAAATATGTTATTTATATATTTATTAAAGTTCACTACATCATATATAATGCTATACATATATATCTATAGTATATGTTACAAGCTATCTTTTCTAAAATATATGACAATTTTGGATATATATATTATTGTTATGGTATTCATGAAAACAACTCTATTTTTTTTTAATAAGCAACAAATTACTAGTTTTTTTTTATTACATTTATGATTACCAAAAGTGTCTTATATTTTAGTAAAGATAGCTTGTAACATACTGTTGATATAGCATTATGTATGATGTGATAAACTTCAATAAATAAATAAACTTAAAGTACTGTCGTCTCTCTATATAGAGTATACACTGTGATGAAGAGACATCGGTACTTGAAATAGCACATCTCATAATTCCATGTACTTTATACAAAATATATTTACCTGGTGGCTTTTCACATTCTACCCGTGGTAGGCCATCATCTAAAATATAAAAATAGTACTTATTACTTCATAATATATACAAAATTCTGATCTTTATAAAACTTAAGTTGCAATTATAAATTATCACTTTTTGGTGAGTTAATAGCATTTTCTATGTGTATTGTTAGTGTTGCATTATAAACAAATGTACCCTAAGCCAAATCGGCCAAACTAGCTGTGACACTTGCTTTGTATGACATGTCCGATATCATATCATATGTAAGACAATTTTGTTAGGCTAACATACGAAGGAAATTATATATAATCGTACCTTCTCCAAATTCTTGCAAATAAAGAAATAATAATGCTTGATTAGGGGTAGACACACTCTAGATGTTCAAACACCTACCTTCAGTTACCATTGAAATTTAGATTTATATCAGTTTTGGTATGTTAGACATACAGTTCTTAACCCCGATATAATAATTACAAACACTGACAATTCCTATTATATATAGAAATTCAGAAATTCCTATAAAATTTTACTTTATAATGTTTACTTGAAATAATTTTTAAAGAAACAATCAATACTTGTTTAGTTAGCCCTATATTTACCGTGATATTTTTATTTAAAACACTAAAAAAATTATGCCGAGAAACTTCATTAAAATACGTTTAACAATATTTTGTACCTTTAGCCAGTTGGTCTGGTTTCGAGACTTCCAGGGGCTTCATGGATGCTTCTGAAAATATATTCATTTAATAAGTTCTAAAATACAAAAAGAAAAATTATGTTCCAAATGAGGTTTTAATTGCATTTTAATTACCCACATTTTGGTCAGAATTGTTGATACTAACATGTAACAATGAAAATAGATACTAGCTAAACTACATAATCCTTGAACTAAAACTAAGAGGTTATTTTTTATAAAATTACTTTAAAGGTACCAACCTCTTGATTTGTCGTCAACTCGCATATCATCTGGTTTAAAGATATCTGTTTTTATTTTTATTTTTGGTTGCTCTAAGTCACCTGGTTGCTGAAAAATACATATATTGTATAATATTGGGCAGTTACGCTTAGTGATCGATGGAATCATAATTTATCCATCGCTAATAGATTATATCTGTTTTTAAGACTTCTCATACAGTAAGAGAAAATATGTTAAAAAACCAGTATGTTTTTAATAGGTCTCTTTTATAGATAATATATCACAATAACAAATATGATAATGATGCCACAGCATACATGATGTATGTACTTAGCAATTTAATATTTTAAGTATATAATATTGTTTATTTTAGTTATAAAACTCTAATATTAGATAGCGATAGATGACCATAGCCTTCTGACATTTCCGAGTCTTAGCATCAGATGAGTCTTGTGCCTATTTACCCCCTGTACTACAAAAAAAACCATTCACAGAAAACTTGCTTGTTTAATCATTCTTTCCTATTTTATAAAGGTTTAAATGAAAACATTTAAATACTTACAATCATCTCTGCCTCAGGATGTGGTCTTTTCTGAGAGTCAGATGGCTCTAATTTAATTTCTGGTTTCATTTGTTTAATATCAAGGGGTTTCTGGGCATCAAGGGGAGGTAACAAGTGTGGCTGTGGGGGCCAGGCAGATTTGTGGATGCCCACATCCGGGGCATAGCCTTGCACTGCGGGTTTAAACAACATACCTAACAATTATTATTGAGTTATTCCTTTGTACAATTATTATTATTTAGGAGACAAATAAGCTATTAAGTTATTGGGGTACTAATTATTTGGATTAAATATAAACAATAATTCTAAACAACAGTCAAATCAAATTTTTTAATAGTTTGTCTATCAGACTACTACTCAATTAACTTATTATTATTAACAGTAGATTTGTATAGCTGTTTCAACATAACTACAATAATATTATCTACAGAATGCAACTCACCCATGTGCGACTGTGCCATGTGAAGTTGAGCTTGCTGCTGGGGAAAACTTTGATGATGTGCATAGTTCTGATGTGCTGGTGGGGCATATGATAAATTTTGAGGAGCATATCCCCCTGGGGGCGGAGGCCCGTAGGCTGCAAATGCATCCGGTGGCGGATAGTGGGTATTATATGCACCGGCGTATGGCTGGTATGGTATTTGGTGGCCGTTGTCTAGAAATCATAACAAAAGGTCTTTAAGGTCTATTTACATATTTCCCGCGCAAAAATCTTATTTACCAGACTTACCTAGGTAATTTAGCGGGAGCCCGTTTCCTTGGACAACGCCGTGGCCTGGCTCACCCTCCATTCTGAGCCTTTTCTGATTCATCGCTCTTTCAGCTTCATAATTCATCTTTGTCACTAGAAACAAAATCCGTGTAAATATCAATCACTTATAAACACATTATGGCACTCTCTTTTATTTCATTATTACGAACTACACGTTTATTTTGTAGTATCCACGATAACTATGACAGACGCCAACCGGACGCTATCACAAAACACAGGACACAGGTTATGCGCTCCGCAAAAGCAAACATAGCGTACCTTTGTTAGGCACTGATTGTTATTGATTTTAGTTAATACAGCCACTCGGAATCTTGTTCACCATATATTTGTACATAATCGAGCACAATATAAGTCAAAATAACAGTTGCATAGAAAATATGCACAAAATTCACATTAATGACAGTGAAATTAGAAAAAAACACAAATGAAGCGGAGTTGGTGTATTTTTTTTCTCCATCCTTTGATTTTTTATTTTATTGCTACATGGTAATACCATGACAGATGTCAAGTAAAAATGAAGATATTCTGTATTTAGAGGCATAGTTCATAAGACAACGTTTATACAAGAAATTATCAACATTGTTTTCATAAATTTAATCTTAATTACTTGTCGATTTACAAAAATGTAATAATTTCTGAGAAATGAAAGAAAGAAAAATTCATAAAATTAACCCACGATGCAACAAATATGTAAAGTTAATTCGATTTTTTGAACGTTACTTCATTCTATTTAACTCGACTCATTCATTTTATCTAGACTTAGGTTAGGTTATCTTTTTTAAGATTAGTAAGTTAAATTAGTGGCATAAAAACGTTATATGAAGTTATATATATATTTATACAAGGAGTTAGGATTCTCATGTGTGTGCCTGAGAGTCCTAACGGCTAACTCCTTGTAACTCATTACTCACACACCCATGAGTGAAAGTCATGTATATGATTACTAAATGTAGGCGCCTTATTTAACTTTAGTGTGGTATGATGATCTATTACAACAAAACTAGTGGAAATTAGGTTTTCCTGCAGCCATTTTTTATATATTAGATATTATATCTAATAAAAGCGCTAGAGCTAGGTAAAGTAACTGTGAATCGACTATAGTAAACTATCATAAATTGTATTATAGTATACTCTGTGATAGTATTTGGTATTTGGTAATCATCCCAAAAAAAAAAAAAAAAGTATTTGGTAACGACAGACTAACGTGCAGAAGTACAAATTTTTGTAAAAATTTTATTACAAACATTTGAATATATCTATACTTGAATTTTAAATACTTTTTGTGTAATTTACAATTTACATACACAAATTTTTGATTGCTATTTGATGTCATCTTCATTTTTATAGTTGAAAAGTAAAAAATGTATTAAAGTTATGTGAATGTTATGGTGATTGCAGAATTCATAGAAAAAAGTAGTGTAAGTATTTTTTTAAATGTTAGACAATGGTACGTATTGTATTAATCCAAATCTTTACCTATAATTGGAAAGTGACCACACAAATTTGTCCCTTCCAGTCTGTTGTGCTTAGGTCAATTTATTTGTAAATGTGTTACACTATATCGGTAAAGTAGGTAGAGGTATATACCATATAACCAATGCTTTTTTGTAAGGACGTGATGTAGGTGTTATTATTTGTTTATAAAACTGATTTTTGAAGATATTAAACATTCTTTGGTAATTTCTCGCTTGTATTTTCTAAAATAATTGATGTGTATGTTACAAATGATAGACATCAATAATTTTCGTCATTTTCCTGTTTTTTAATGATGCATATTGCTTTGGAACCGATAAAAAAACCCTTGATATAAAAATAAAAAAATAATAATAAATAGAAATAAAAAAACTGAGAGACAAATAAGTGTAATTTTGTATAAAAAATATAATTAAATGTTATATAAAAACAGTTGAAATTTGAAATTCAGTAATGTGAAGACATGAAAAATGTGGGTGTACTCTGGCTCTTCAATTATTTAAATAAATATTTTGCTATACTTCTTAAATTTGTTTAAATTTTTCTTTTTCAGTTTGCTCAGCTTATACAATGTTTAAGTGTGAATTTCCTGATGAAGGAGTGGTTCCACCGTAAGTTTCTTTAATCTTGTTCACAAAGAGTAATAATTTCTACAATATCAATTTAAAAAGGCTCTTATAAATCTGTAAGATAATAATATTTCTATTTTCTAAAGCAGGGAGTAATAAATAAACCTCACCCATGAACATTGACACATGCTAGAAGGCTGCTGAAAGGCCTTCAACCAAAAGAAACCTGTGTTTCCTTCTCCTATAGTGCCATCTCCTTTTGAAGGTTGGCAATCATCATGGCTACTATTATTTTGGATGCCGTGCTTCTAAACAATGACTTGGTGCTTTGACCAAACCATTTCCTAAGATTCTTCAACCAAGAGGTGTGTCTGCGGGTAGGTCTCCATCTACCTGCCACTGCCTTAATTGATTACTTGAAGGAGCTCGTATTTTTTGGTGTCTGGCTTTATAGACGTCCGAAATATTAAAGTTGCCTTTTCCTAACCATCATAAGCAATTCCTTGTGCATATATACTGTCCAGCCCGGTTGTATTTCACATGCGGTCTGTCCGAATATTTTAAGCAGACGTCTATAAAGCCAGATCCTGAACGCGATATTGCAGGCTACTCTATTGTTTGGAAGTTGCCTGGATCTTGTTAGTGCTGCGCCTTCTCAAGTTCTCATGCCATCTTCACATGTGTATGTGTGTCTATAATATAGTTTCATAATCATTTGATTATTTTAACATGTGTGATGCTTGAGAGCAAAATCAAAATGAAATGCAAAATTAAATAGAAATTAAAGAAGTTGATGTTAAACATTTCTTCATTAATTGTTATGTGAAGTTGTTTCCTAGATGTTTTCTGATATCGAGTCTTATCACTGTGCCCTCAACTAGATAAATTTTTCTGAATTGAGGATGACAGAAAACTCACCTGATCCTATAAAATAAATTAAATTAATTTGAAAATACTTAAAAAAGCAGTTGTAGCTGCTGAAAGACAGACATCAAGGTGTTAAGGGTGGACTTGTCTCAAAATTCAAGTTAAATTAATAAATTATCAACTCACAAATATTTTTGATAACAGCTTAGCTTTCCTTTTTTTATTTTAGAAATTTTGATGAAGGAGTTGACTCTGATGTTTTAATTACTTATCTTCGAGATCTGGATGGATTTACCGGTTCGCAGATAGAGATTTGTCATGAACCACCAATGGATGTAAACAATCTAATTCAATTAGTAAATCCAGTGGACACTAATCTAGTACCTGTAAGTTTATTTATTTATTACCAAACAAATTATAATGCTTTTTTGTGGATTGTTTACAGGCTAAGAAATATAATATATCCATAGTATCAAAAGGCCTTTTTTTTTAATTGACACCTATTTAATTAATTTTCATGGTTGATTTTGATACATAGTTTTATTAATCCTATTGTTATAGACATCTCCGCAAGGACCACCTGCCAGAACAAATTTAGAGGGTGTATTTAAATTCAAAGCAGAAATAGACAGTACACATACAAGGAAAAAAAAGTATTTAGTAAGTAATCTTTATTAAAATATGTTTATTATGAAACATAAGATACATGTATCACTTATTCCACGTCATTAAATTTGAATTTGTAGGCATCCCTCCTCATTGGCAAAGAAGACAGAGGGTGTAGGCCGAGAGAAACAGCCAGTGAAAAAACTCTCGCTACTCTTTTAAAATAGCAAATCATCAAACAACACTTATTTAAAACAAATATCGCAAATTAATTAGAAGTAGCCTGTCTAGCACTAGTCCCAGGCCCTTTTATCAACTAGATAATCGTTGACTTTATAGTAAGCCTTTTTACACAGCTTTTCTTTAATACATTTCTTAAATTTATTAAAAGGCAACTATTAACTGTGCCATTGTAATTTTTTTTAGCTAGTCTTATTTCTTTCGTAGTCCTACAGCTAACATAAATTATATATAACAAAAAACAATTATACTAAAGATATAGAATGCCAAAAAACAAATATATAATATTTACAAAATAGCATAATTATTTATAGAATATTCTCGTATTATTATATAGGTCTGTAATAATCATCAAAAAAGCTTTTTATGATTATAAATAGTTTGGCTTTAATTTTTTAAAATAAAAAAATAAGATAATCCAAATGTAATTTTTTTTTTGGGTTTTGATGTTAATAATCAGCAAGTTCTTGTATTTTTCCAGTATTCCCACCGTCTAAACCGCATCTATGTGGATGTGAATGTGAATTTCTCAGTGGGCTTTACGTGGGATGCAAGTCTCTTCCCTGGGGAGGCCTACATTCGTGCTACAACTGTATTCTCAGATGTTACTCAAGCTGAGAAAAGAGTTGAAAGATGTTACCAGCACTCACATGAAACTGCAAATTCTCCAGGTAAAAAATAACCAAGTTATGCCAATAATAGGCAATACTATAAAATAACCAGCTAAGAACCATTGCAGTTTACGTTCAACAAGTTTAACTACTAAATAAGTTAGTCAACTCTACAATTAATTAAAGATTTTCTTGCTGAATAAATTTTTCAGATATATTCATTTGCAAGAAACACATCCTATAATTTCATATTCCAGGAAAATCCAGAGCTACAATAATGAATGTTCTCCATTCTGCTCGAGAGCATGGTTCTCCTGATGTCCATTATTGCGGTAACCCAGAACAACCTGATTCTTGGTACTCAGTTCTTGTTCGGACACCTCGACCAACACAATTGGCTTATGTGTTCCTGTGCAAGAGTTCCTGTTCTTCGGGGATTAATAGACGCCCTATAGAAATCATCTTCACACTTGAGGATTTTAAGTGAGTATTTTGTGGAATTAGTGCAGCTTAAATACATTTTTCTGTAAAATGTAGCTGTTTTGAAGTAGGGATGGCGATTCTTTACGAAAAAGATCGATTTTTAAATCGATTCGAATCGTAGTCTAATGAATCGATTCACGAAAAAATCGAGGCCTACAAAATCGATTCTTAAAAAATCGATCTTTTTTTCAAGTTTGCGTTTACAATGTAAATTTGTATCAATTTTACTAAAAACAAGATTAATATTGCAATTAACGATATCTTATCAATAAAATCAGGGAATTCAAAAATAACAATTATTTTTATTACCGTATCAAACTATAAGATCAACTATAAAAAAAAAATAAGTATTTATATACTGAATGTTTTCAATTCATTAAACGACAACAACAAATGAATAATGCATTATGCAATATCAATCGTCACAGATTATAAATACATAAAGTCAAAGACTACAAACGTAACTTTTTTATTAAAGAGAGGCGAGTAAAGGATACTAAACATACAGCCATCTCGCGAGTTTATGAGTAGTTAACTCTTTAACCGGCAGCACTCTTATAATTCAGGCACATTCAACTAAATGCAAATAATTGTATGGTTTATACCAAAACAGAAAAAATCGAATGTCGATTTTCAAGGGTGATATATCGATTCAGTGAATCGACACAGTACTTCATATCGATTTAAAAAATCGATATTTTCTGCTCGAAAAATCGATTCTTCGATTAATCGATCTCAGATCGCCATCCCTATTTTGAAGCAAGTGTTTCATATTCCTTGAGTGATTTGGTGTACTATTCCATATAAATGACACTTAAAGTTGGCTTTTAGCTATGTATTTTATTTGTTCTGTATAATTATGGTCAATCTAAACCTTATTTGAATTGTTTAAATTGAATTCAAGGTAGTTTTGATATAATGTATGTAGCTTATTTTAATTTTCACGTATGTAGATGTAAATGTACAATAGAACAGTGGGCAAACGGGCAAGAGGCTCACCCAATGTCAAGTAATGCCACCAGTCACCACCCATGGGCACTCGTTCTGCCAAAAGCCTGACAAGTTGTGGAATATATTTGAGATCGCTACTGGATGGAAGTTTCTTTGTTTAGGGGCGAAATATATGGGCGTCAAGTTGTGGGTGCGCGTGTTTGCTCCTGTCCTCGCAGGGACATAGACCGTGATGAATGCGTCGAAGGGCTACCCAAAAACAAGAGATTAGCACCGCAACAGGAGACAAGGCCTAAGAAGGTTAAGACTGAGGCAGTTGAAAAAGATGATGGAGTTATTAAATTGCCAGCGGTGAGTGTAACTATATATGTCTATATCTGTGGTCTATATTCGTAAAAATAACCATGAATTCATTAAGAGTACAGTACAATAGTTTTATAATGTTAATGATGCAAAGGCGCTCTTAATAAAACTAGGGTCTTTGTGTGTGTCTTTGTGTGGAGGAGGTGAGAATCCCTAATTTCTCTGCACTCGTAGGCAAACGTTTCTGGGATGCTATGGGATATTGCTTGTCGCAGTCTACAAACTCCAATGATATACGAACCTGCACAGATCACCTGCTGCTGCTGTGGCTCATTATAGTATTATATTATTGAAATGTATCAATAATACTTATGGGTTTTTTAATATGTGCAATTAAGATTGTTATGTAGGCTGGGTTGAATTATGTTAAATATGGTGAATTGTTTTCTAATTTCTTACACACCGTTTGATAGACATAGGACAATACTTCAATCTAACTTGACATCTATTTGTCTGTTATACATTTTTTTTTTTGTTAAGGCGGAAACATACTACTAAAACGCGATGCTACACCACGCCATCCGACGCATGTCAGTACTTATCAATCCCATATATTTAATATGGTCAGGTGCACATATACAACACGCCATGTGATCACACGCGGTAACATCCAATCGATTTGGATCAGCGTGTTGTCGTGTTGTTGACGCCAAGCGTCAAACGTTCGAGTTTTTGGCACAAATGTCAATTTATATACATACATATTTTTGGATTTATTTATTTGGCGAAATGAACGACCAACAATTAACTGAGTTGGTGAAACAATATTCTGTTCTATATGACATGAGATTACCTCAATACAGCGACCATACTGTGAGAAATAATGTATGGGAAGAAATAGCCGAACAAATGAATACAAGCGGAAAGTTTTATTAAAATATTATATTACAAGACTTTTGTATGAGTTGCAAGTTTTTAATTTTGTCTACCTTTCCTCACAATATCAAGCTGCCACGGAACGGCGCCTTCACCACCAAAATATTCCTTAAATTTGTTTCTTACTGAAAATGCATACTGTGTGGAATTTCTACGAATTGGATTTAAGTCGTGGTGTCGCGTGTTGGTAATGTGCACGATGGACATCGGGTGTCGACACGTCGCGTGGCGTTTTAGTAGTATGTTTCCACCTTTATACTAGCTGTTAACAAACTCTAATTATTAACTTTATTTTAGGTTATAAGTCATTTTAAAATTGATTTTTAAAATCCAAATAGTGAACAAAAATTAATATTTTTAATCCTACAGATTGGAGTTGTTGGTCGCAGAACAGCAATTCTTGGCCTTGAAGTAATGCTCAACATGATGGAAGAGAAAAGAGAAGGATTAGTTGCTAATAGACTAAGCACAGATACAACATCTGTGATACATAATCTGGACAAAAGTATTGCAAATTTAAAAAAACATATTAACCAATTAAAAGGGCAGCAACAATAGGTTTAGATTCACTTGGCCAGTATTTGTTAGTCTACCTAACTCAATGTATGCTAGTAATACTATAAATCTCCTTAATCGGTTATGTTGTCTATATTTTGTTATGTCAGTAACAAGATGTTAGTAGTATTTGAATTTAGATAAATAATTTTAGTATGAGTGTCACCATGTGCCATTCTTTTCTTACATTTGTAATTTGTAAAAATTTACATCCGCCTTTTTATATAATCTATGTTTTATAATGTATAATGTTTATCATGTTGTATAACACATTCCAGATTTTGAATGTTTTAAATCAGGTACATTATTTTAGAAGTTCATTTCTCAGTTTTAAGTAACCAGTGTTTTAGATCTAAGTAAAAGTATAAGTATTATAACATAAGTAAAATGAGAACACAAGTGTGTTAGTTTTTTAAATATTTTTGTATTTTTATATTCCTATCGTGCCTTAATAAGAGATAGTACATAAGCTACAAAAAAAAATAGATGGTTAGTAAGTAATTTGGTTTTTATAATTAAAAATACTATGTTTTTTAATTAAATTGATCCAATATTAAAAATAATAAGTATTATTTACAGGTTCAGTGATATTTATGTATATAAATAAAACTTTAAGGTTTTAAATCAAATAACTTTTTTACATAGTAAAAAATTTACAACAACTTTAAATGCCCAGTTACTTTATCAACAACATTTTTTGGAGCAGGACCTATACCAAGAACTGTTATGGAGTTAGGTGCGATTTGTGTTCTTCCAGCGTCTCGTATCATTGATGTTATTATACCCATTTTCTTAGCATTATCAGCGATTTGTTTTATTTCATCAACAGAGTCTGTTTTGACAGCCACCTTTGCTTGACCAGTCATTTGCCAGGATTTTAAACCTTCTGGGTCTCTTTTTAATGCTTTCTCATAAGCACCAACGGCTGCATGTCCACACTGAGCTGCTATTTTACCTTTACTCATTCCTAAATCTGTTCTTACAACTAATATCAATTTATATTCACTGTTTGAAGCTATCTGAAACATAAATTACTACAATTTGGATGGGATTAGGATATTTCAGAATTTAGTAAAGTATGTGTTATCATTCACTGTGGATTTAAATTCCAGAGAAAACAAAATCTGTCTGTTTAGGAAGCCGGATAGGAAAACTGAAGGTTCACAATGGTAACGGAATCAAAACTAATTTCCATCGTAATGCTATATCGAGCTTCAACATCATATTTTTAATACAAGAGTTACTTACCTTTTTAATGGTTTTAGCGGTTTCTTTAACAGATACAAAATACTTTCTCAATGTAATTAGCGATAATCCAATAACTAGGCCGCATCCTAAGCCCGAAACGAATGAATAATAATCCATTTTCTTGTTTATAGAACTTATGGTGATAGCTGACTGATCAGATGGTAGATTTAATTTATTATAATTTTCTTTATTACGTTTGAAACTTGTTGCAGTTGTTACTTGTTACCGAATAACCTCAACTAGGGATAATTTTAAAAACAGCGCTGGCCGCTGAGCCTGAGTGGTGACTGGTGAGCCGTGAGTGAGTGCTTGAGAGTTGAGCAGTGCTAGTGTAGTATACGCCGAACCGATCGGATATCGTATTGTTTCTTTTTTTATGCGACTGATCTACAAATCGGATCGAATCTTTACACACCATAATACTCCACAAAATATGTGTTGACAACTGATTTCGTAGAGGTAATTGTCATAGCTGGAGAGCTAGTGAACCCTGGGAGTAACGGTCTCCCTGTAAGGTTAGAAATTTGTATACTTACGATTTATGACATGCTAAGAGCAATAGCCATGACCTGGCAGGCGTCAGCCCTGCACGTCATCAGCCCCTTTTTTTTGGACTGTTAAGTAAATTGAGTTTCAAAACTTGTTTCTGTAAATTTGAAAATTTTATAGGATAAAGTTTATTTATTGTACATCTTAAAAAAAAATTGACAGGCGATTACAATAAGCAGAAGTATATGACAGATCAATTAGAAAACGTACAGTTGATGAGTTAAAATAAACTTTATCCTGTATACTTAAAATTTTTATATGTTTTCAAGTAAACGTCTCAGAGTAAATATGTACAATGCCAGGCGGTTTTGAACAGCATAAGACCTTGACAGGCGAGGGGACAGCTGCTGCAGCGGCGTGCAAATAAGAAATGTTACATGAACGCATACAGTAAATGCAATGTATTTTATTGGGTTTTATGCAATCTACATTATTTTTAACATTCATTTTCTTCAGCATCATCCGAAATTTCGCTATCACTGTTTTCATCATCATCTGATTCTTCAACAATGTTTTCCTCATCTGAAAATAGTAAAAAAAAAATATTTTAATGAATCAATAAGGTTGTTAAGAATTAAATATCAAGCTCAATTACATAGGACTGCGTATTAAATGTTACGGAATAAAATAGTTGTATGTTACCTGAAATGCATAGTTTTTATAACATTTTACATGGTAACCAGTATTTGCGTTAATTTCCTCTGGCAAAGAAATGTCTTTAAATTTTAAATTATTGTCTTTTCTTATTTTCAATATTGATTTACTTTTATTCAACGTAGTCTCTGTAAATCGTACAGTTTTTTTGTCAGTGTCTTCGTTACAAATCACACAAACCACGTGTTCCAATTCCATCTTGCACACTATTTACTGAAATGTTAATATTAAGTACAACAATACACAATATCACTGCACAATTGATAATAATATAAAGTTAGATTTTTTAAAAATTCGAATTCACTCAACATAAGAAATGTTATAGCTCAAAGCATCTTCACAAGTAAAAATCATTGGCACAACTGACGAAATTCTTCTCTGTACATTGTTGCTCGAGAGCAGGTATACGTCCCTTCGTATTAGATAAACGGTCTCACTCGCACTATAGGCATTCACGCAACACCTCTCACTCGCACTCCCTTAGCAGCTGTCCCCTCGCCTGTCAAGGTCTTATGCTGTTCAAAACCGCCTGGCATTGTACATATTTACTCTGAGACGTTTACTTGAAAACATATAAAAATTTTAAGTATACAGGATAAAGTTTATTTTAACTCATCAACTGTACGTTTTCTAATTGATCTGTCATATACTTCTGCTTATTGTAATCGCCTGTCAATTTTTTTTAAGATGTACAATAAATAAACTTTATCCTATAAAATTTTCAAATTTACAGAAACAAGTTTTGAAACTCAATTTACTTAACAGTCCAAAAAAAAAGGGGCTGATGACGTGCAGGGCTGACGCCTGCCAGGTCATGGCTATTGCTCTTAGCATGTCATAAATCGTAAGTATACAAATTTCTAACCTTACAGGGAGACCGTTACTCCCAGGGTTCACTAGCTCTTGGACCATCAAGAACGTGGTTTAGATGGAGAGATGAGTTGACAATGGACTGACGACTGACCCTTGTTTATTGTCTATTTCTTAACCAAGATCGAAACAGTTGACAGATAATAAAGGTCACTTCATCTAAATATAAAATAGGAAGTTCTTGCAGGACCTACATACTCAATAACTTTCAGTTAAGTTAAGTTTCAGGCTGAATTCGGTTTAAAGTTGTTGGAATGCGGCACCCGCATCTTGCAGGATTTTATACGTTCATATTTTTTTCCTGCAAATCTTAAAACATCGCAATATTATCGCATTCTATTCTTTATATATATACTTATCAGAAACCGTGTATAAAAATTTTAACAAAAAATTATTTCAATCGAATTATTACAGACATCTTAAGGGTGCGTCCACATCTGGCGAATATGCAGCGACTGTGCAGCTCGCGAGCAGTTTACGAGCTGCGCCCGTGAATTACCCGCTCAGTTCGTTTCTGATTACTGGAGGTTAAGTACGTGTTGTCAGGGAGTGGACGGAGGAGAACGAGCCTTGCATGAGTTGCGCTAAAGTGGCGCACCAAACCATTGCCATGACTGCACGAAAACAGCTCGCGAGCTGCACATTCGCCAGATGTGGACGCACCCTAAGACTATGAAACACATATAATGTGATATTAAACGTCAAATTCTACGTAGTTAATGTAATAAATATATGTAAAAACTAGCGTAAACCAAAGACGATAAACGTTACAATAGACATTTGTCAATGATTTCTACGTCAAGGATCAAAGAACTTGTTTTCCATTTCCTAGCAACCATTGTTACATTTCATCTGCGTTTTTTCACTCCTATTATTGCTGAAATAAAAATTAAAGAAATATGATAAAAAAGAACACAAAAGATTTGGCGCCAATAGCGCTTCCACATGGACCACCTGTGGAATGCACTTCAGAATATTATAAATCGCTTATGGAAAGCGCGCGCATGGTCAAGTGAGAATTTTAGTTAAAATTAAAACATTCAACTTGTATACATTCAGTTTGGTAAAATTTGGTAAGGATACATCAAAAAAGTCCATTTGTTTCTCGGAAACAGAAGGTTAACATATAAATGATACGTCATGTCTTTCTGACCGTGAGCCTAAATCTTGATAAAATACTTCACGACCAAGCCTGACCAACTTACGTCAATAGACATCAAAATGGTCACGATGATTGGCCTAATCATGATCTTTCTATACTTATATTATATAGACGAAAGATTTGTATGTAAGTATGTTTGTAACGAATTGGCTCAAAAAGTACTGGACGAATTTTAAAAATTCTTCCACCATTTGAATGCTACATTATCATTGATTAATATAGGCTATTTGTTTTTTAATTGTTTATAATTGCTAGAATGAAAATAAGGATCCCAATTAAAACTACAATAATGTTACCCCAAGGTGTAAAAAAAATGCCTATAAAATATCTTTCATCGCATGCGCTGCGAAAACTATTGATAGATATAGATAGAGAACGAAAAAATATTCCACAATATTAAAGAACACATCAATATCTACAAAAAACGTTTAAAAACAAATGTCCACCCGTGCGAAGCCGGATCGGGACGCTAGTATATTATATAATAGCAAGTCTGCCGAAAAGTTTCTAGTTATGTCTTAGGGCCCAGTAATAAATACTACAGTATTAATACTACTCCGCTGGTACAACGAATCAGTATGTCTTGGCCTCCGAGACAAGAGAACACCACATGGGACAATCTTGCACTGCTGCTTGCCCATTGGCCACTTGGAGGTCGCTCAAGTCCCTCTCCAGCGATATCTGGGCCGTCCAACAGACCGACAGACCATTGGAATCCCAGATATGCTTTCTTGACACTTCGAACCTCTCCCATTCTTTCTAAGTGGCCAGTTCAGCGGAGTATATTAGCTTTGGCTTCCTTCGTGATGTTGGGTTGGACACCATATCCTTAATCTCCTCATTTTTTCTAATCCTCCAACCTCCATCTTCTATATCTCGTGTTTATTTGTATAGAAAATATCCAGTATGGGATGTCGCTCGACCCACGCCTCAAGTCCTGATGGAACAGGCTCGAAGGGACCTTATGGAGGCCGACGAAAAACTAGCCCATAAGCGTGAAGAAGAGAGAATTAACAGAAAGGCCATGGACGCCAAGTGGAGCGACCTTCGAGAAAAGGAGATGTTGTTGAAGGAATCGTTTATTAGTTTTAACAAGGTAAACGTTATAAATCAAAATAATATAGACCATATACTTTTTAAGATCATAAACTTCATCTTTCTCTCTCATCTCCAAGAATAGAACGCTTTGTAATATACATAACAACAGCTACAGTTTACAACATCATCATCACGATTACCTACATATACGTAGTTGGTCCCAAAGTTCTGTCACTAGCACATTATTTCTACATTTCGAGCAGGATTTTATAAAAAAATTATTGCATTCTATTTTGGAATGTTTGATTATTGTTTTAAAACAAAAAACAATAACTTTCCGTAATTTTTCACGATGGAGTGGACATTGAAAGTAAACCGAATAGTTGTTATTGCGTTGCACCGCTGTGGACACTCGCCGAGTACCATTTTCAAGTTGCTCAAAAATTTGAATATAACGCTTAGGTTTGTGTACGGTACTATTGATAGGTACCTTGAAGTCTCCAGTGTTGAGGACAAGAAAATAACTGGCTGGCCACGCTCCACAAGAACACCAGCAGTAAGCAAAGCTATCAAGGCGCGGATAGTAAGAAATCCTGTCCGAAAACAGAAGTTGATGGATTTGCAGATGGGTGTCAGTAGGAAAACAGTAAAAAAGGTTTTAAATGAAGATCTTGGTCTACGAGCATACAAAAAAGAGTGGGCACTTACTTAATGCTCGTCTAAAAGCAATAAGGCTTAAGAGATCGCGGGTGTTGTTTAAGCGGTACGCGAAAAACCGACACCGTGATATCCTCTTTACGGACGAAAAATTTTTCGATATTGAAGAGAAGTACAATAAACAGAATTATACAGTGTACGCTATGAGTTCTGAAGAAGTTGAAAATAAAGTTCCAAGGGTGCAACATGGACATCATCCATCATCAGTAATGGTTTGGTTGGGAGTGTCCTATTACGGGCTAACTGAGGTTAATTTTTTTCGAAAAGGGGTCAAAACCAGTGCTACAGTGTACCAAGAGACGGTTTTGTATCGCCTTGTCAAAGAGATGTCCAGCACCCTATTTGCGGGACATCACTTCGTGTTCCAGCAGGACTCTGCGTCTGCATACAAAGCCAAGACCACTAAAGCCTGGTTTGAGCGTCAAAACATCGTCTTAATTAGACATGAGGATTGGCCTTCCTCCAGTCCGGACCTTAATCCTTTGGACCAGAAATTATGACAGGGCTTAGAGAGGAAGGTCTGTGATAAACCTCATGAAAATTTGGAGAATCTGAAGTCATCTTTATAAAAACCAGTGACTGAAATCGACACGAATATGGTGCGTGCTGCGATAGACGACTGGCCGCGACGCTTAAGGGCCTGTATTAAAAATGAGGGAGGTTATTTCGAATATTTTTATGCTTTTTTTATTCCCTAATTAATGTACTAAGAATTGATATATCACTCATTACAAACTGATCAGTACTTTTGTTTTTATCATTATTTCCATTTATGACAGAACTTTGGGACCGACTACGTATTATAATAAGATTATTGATGTTGAGGTGTCAAAAATTAAAACAGACACAACGGTTATAAAAACACAGACTTATAACAACACTAATTAGCTATCGTCTCAAATACACAGTGTATTATACGCACACATTCACATATTCATACATACTAATACTTAAGGTCTTATACGACTTTTTTTATTAGACGTAACGACACTTACGTAGACGTAACGAGACGTAGGTACCTACTTTTTCATGATGATGATGTCGATCGCGTGATTGGTGAATCAAGTGACGTTTGTGTCCCGCGCTGCGCAAACTATCCCCCACCCTCTTGTTGATTGCTCAAGAAGTTTGCCGTTATCTGTACCACGGAATAATCACTCACAAGTTTTTTTTTCTTTTTAAAGACAATTCACACTCCAATTGACCTAGTCCCATGCTAAGCTGGTGAAGCTTGTGTTATGGGTACTAGGCAACGGATATACATACATATTATAGATAGATAGACATAAATTATATATATTTAAACACCCAAGACCTAAGCACAACACCAAATGCTCATCACATCGATGTTCGCTCAGGCGGGGATCGAACCCGGGACCCATGGATTCGCAGTCAGGGGTACTAACCACTAGACCAATGAGTCGTAACACATTCCCTAATGTGGGGACTAGCGTTAGCTTTCAATTTTATCACTAGCATATTTCTACGTGTAGAAAATTTTGAATTACTTTTAAGGTGACTTGGCTCGAATTGTAAGTCGAGCTTGTCAAAATCCCTTACGTTTTTGAGTTACACTTAGGGTGAGATCTATAGTGCGCACTTGGACTTTGCTTAGACTTACCTTACGAAAAACTTTGCTTAGGGTGAGATCTATAGTGCGCACTTGGACTTTGCTTAGACTTACCTTACGAAAAACTTTGCTTAGTGTACACTAAGGTTAAACTATGATTTCGTATTTATAGACATTTTAACGGTGAGATTAAGCTAAGCCCAAGCTAAGACAGAAAATGTCAAAATACAAATTGATGTTTCATTTCATGCCATACTTTGTTTATTATCCTTTAAAAAAGTAAACAATAACAAATATTTAAACATCTAAAACGGTACACATATATCTTCAATTTATTGTTATTTATGTATTCATTTATTTTATTATTGCAATAACTAGAAATTTACGAGTAACCTTTAGAAAATGTATTAATTATTTAAAGATGACAATAATTTTATTACGTAGAACGGATCGCAATGTTTTGACAACAGCAACAGAGCACTTGTATCAACTATCAACAATTGAAAATTTTAAACCACTTTTTCTCTTTTCTGTTTCTGTTTGTATCTTTGTGACTTGGACCTGGACCAATCTGGATCGTATACCTACTTAAGACCTACGCATTCCCGAAGCACTGTGACGTTTTGTGATTTGGCTTTGTTACATGGACCGCTTGGAAATATCAATATCGAAAGTGACATGATGGAGAGAGAGAGAGTTCTATCTTCAATAGAAAACATTGAAAGGATAGGAACTGCAGCCGATATGAATCCACGAATGCCTAAAGTGTTGTATATGTTCGGAACTAATAAAACCAAAATCCTTCAATCCTGTACGGTGAGAATGAATTCAAAAGAAGGAACCGTATTTTGAAACACACGGTATTAAATGTGATCCTGACGCTGATCATTACAAACTTGCAACCTTATAACAACAGAGGATCGCCAAACCTACCGCAATTGCAAATACTTATTGCATTAAGGCATAAAAATGCAACTGGATGTTTTCAGGTAATATTGTGTTCATAAATATGTATGGTTTTTCAATTTGATATATTATACCTCTTCTCAAATGATTTTAAATACATATGTTGAAGACTTTTGTCTTCTGACTTTCAGAAACATAACATATATGTGACTAATAATAATTTATTGACATTACAGATGGTGTGTGGTGATCTGAACAGCATAAGCCCATCTACAGTCTGTTTAATTATAAATAAAGTCTCTGCAGAGTTGAGTAAATTACTTCCTAGATTTATAAATTTTCCAAGAAATATGAACACAGCCAAAACGAAGTTTGAAGAATTAGGAAGATCTAATACTCACCATGGCCTAAACAGTATAATCGGAGCTATTGACTGCACCCATATAAAAATTAATAGACCCAAAGGTATCGCTCACTCTGAAGCATACAGAAATAAAAAAGGGTATTTTTCTGTAAATGTGCAAGCAATAATAGGGCCTGATATGGAAATATTTGCTATAGTGACTAGGTGGCCTGGCAGTTCACACGACAGAAGGATATTTAGAAAATGCCTGTTTTAGTAGGTGACAGCGGTTATCCAGCACTTAACTTCATGTTAACAACACTTTTAAATCCAATGACAAGAGCTGACAATATTTATAATTATTCTCAAATAAGAACTAGGCATATTTTTTAAAGGTTTTTCGGAGTGTGAAAAAGGAAATTTCCATGTTTACAGCTAGGACTACAGTCAAAATTTACAAATACTAGTTATATATAATTATAGCTTGTGCTGTATTGCATAATATAGGTATACAGAGAGGGGATGCTTATGATGATGGTGATCTTGCTGACAGCAGAAGTTGAGTAACACAGAAAAAATGAAAGATCTCCTACAGGTCTAGCATTCCGGCAATCTGTGATTGCACAATTTAACTAGGTAATTTGTTTGGTAATAAAGAATATCAAAACAAAACTTGTTTCATTTTAATCATTTATTTTCTGATTCTTTTTTTAAGTGTAATACATATTTCTAATACTAATTTATATTTTTGTTGAAGAAATTCTATTTCTAACAGATTTTTTAATTTCATATGTTCCACTCCTATCTCAAATTTTTTAGGGTAGTCAGGTAATAAATGGTAGAAGATTCAGGGAAACGAAAATAACAGATGTGAAGCGAGAGACATCGGTTAGGTTACAGTTTGAATTTCGTTGTCACTTTCACTATAATATGCCAGGGCTGCCAGGTGACATACAAAATCACACCAGTTATTTTTAAGATTTCTCAAAAATGGGGTTTGAACAATTACATAAATAATATAAATAAACAACAATAAATACCATAATAATGTGTAATTATTTTAATTCATGCATTTCATAGGTATTTATCAAGATCATTTATAATTTCTTTCAATTCAAATTCTATTTTTCCCAAAGTCTATGGAACTCCGATACAAAATGGCAACACCGTTCATTAAAAACCGACAAAAATAAAAAGTCCAGTAAAAGATATGATGGTAAAGCAAATTTTGGGCCATTATTTTTGTTAGGCTTATAGTCAAAGTTTTTGGTAAGTCGTCGATTTCGTGGACTTGAGATTAAGCTAAGCCAACACTAGGGAGAGATTCGCAGTTTGCTCTATAAATACCGACTGTGTCTTAGCTCGATAGTTAAGTCAGAGCAAAGTCTAAGTGCGCACTATAGATCTCACACTTAGCGCTAAGTGTTGTTTCTGAATCCAAGGCTCAATTAGTCTTAATTTTGAACCCTTAGTCCCTTAGTCTCAATTTTGAAACTACCCTGGTTGCTTAGCGAAAACTAGCATACGAACCTTTTGGTTTGGTTTTTTGGCGCAATTCCTAAGTGAATGCGTCTAGTTTTGTATAAAATTGTATTTATTTAATGTATTGTAAGAATTCGGATTACCGGTGGTCAATACAATTACCAGTTCATAAGAGAAAACCAAGAAAAGCGTGAGCGTGCTGAAAGAAAAATGGAAGCTGACCTTGAGGTTCTTGAACGAAAGACCAAAGAAACTGAGGTCATGAAGGAGAGGGTAGAAGAGATGGAGGAGGTCAGGGACCTTATGGAGAAGCAAGTTAAGGCTTACACGGTTTACGAGGTACATATCGCCTATTGGATATTGATCTAGTGGCTCGTATTATTTATTTCCTAACGAACTCCAAAAATCGATGAGCGCCGGTTGCACCCACGAAAAAGCTTGACTCGTTGTCCCGTTACGCACCTTGTCCAGTTACGCACATTGTCCCGTTACGCTAATTGTACGCTTCCGCCGCATATATCTCTCGCCTGTCCGAGGATTCACTCTTTCTTTGTATCCATACAAAATAGTGATAATTCAATAAAAATTATTCAATTTAATTTATAAAAGTATGCAATAATTTCCTCAATGTTTTGTTATGACGTTGTCAAGTTAAACTATCGTCCGTAAACCGACTCATCAGAAAACTATGTTTTTGGTTTCTGGCTCCATAATACTCGTCATGATTGAACAATATCGAAATTAGGCAAAAAATAGAGTTGACTTTGTGTATTTTTTTTGTATCGAGGAATTAATATTGTATTGTGGTTTTAAATAGAGTCCATTGAAATTATAGTGAAGGATCAGTTACATATTTATTGTTTTTAATCCAAGCTTCACATACTTAAATAAAATCAAATCTACGATGAGTGATTTTGGTTAATGCCAGTTCTTAATGACCCAGCATAAATTATATGTATATTATAATTTGTTTATATATAAAACTATATTATTTAATAAAATTATTAAATAATAAAAAAGTTATTATACCTAAGCAATTTTGTTGGGTCCTGTGTTAATAATCCGTAAATCTATTATATACTATGTTGGTTTGTGTACGCTTCAAAAACTCAAAAAGTTCTGCACCGATCGAGCTTAAATTTTAGCATGATATATAATATCAAGGATTGGTTTTATCCATTTTTTTTTTCGTTTTTTCATTTTTTTCCACAAGTATTTCAAAATTTAACTTATATGAAATGTATTCTTTGTTTTGTATCTCATTTCTCAACCATTCAATCACAATGTGCCACAGCGAGGCGTGGCAGGGAACAGCTAGTTAGATATATTTTGGTCAATTGTTACCTACGTCATAATTATCTCGCCATTTTGTTAAATGTCGATTGATTAAGTTCAATTCTCATATGTTATAATTAATCAAAGAATAACCGCCACTGCGAAATGCTACAACAATAATTTCAGGATTACCTCATGTCTGTGGTTCAAAGCTATCCTGAATTTAAACAGCCACTAGACGTTCTAAACAGATATGAAGCACTTGGTGAGTTTAATACCCCATACTGTAATTGATAAGAATATTAATCTATCAAGTATTACGTAAGCACTATAGGGGGAAGTGGGGGGGGGGTGTCTTTTGTTTTCTTATTTAGTGATTACGTCAACAGTAATTTTCTTTTCGGCGTTTTATGAATTGGTAGCTGTTTTCGTGGAAGATCCAAAGTCGAATTGTTTCGGAAATACAACAATGAGAAGGTTCCATATAGTGGTGGTGCGCGGCAAGTTTTTTAAAAAACTCACAGGTGTGGAACAACGGATGTCGTAAGACGGGTGGAATTTCGTATTCTGCCTTGACGCCAGATGAGGAAACTCAGCTGCAGGTTATTAATATAAATATAGCGATAGAAAAATATTTTCTTCTAGCTGCCGCTAAAAGCACGTTGGCAGATCGTCAAGAGCGAGACCTGGAGATGCTAGAAAGTGCTCGACAAGAGATTGCAGCGCTGACAGAAGAGAAAAAACTCTTCATAATGGGACTCAACAACAAGCTTGCTGATTTGAGGGTAGGTGTAATATTTGCATTTTTTTAAACAGCTGTGGTAATGCTGTGCTCTTTGTAAAAACAAAGATTCAATTCGGTTGATAATTTTGCAAGTATATGGTGGTCCTTTTCTGTCTTTCAACTTAGGATGAATTCTGTTTCAACATTGTCCGATTTTATAACTTTTAAAGTATCCACATAGCTTACTTTTTAAGATGATTAATCTATGCTATTGTTACGAGCTAGAGGATTGGAAAGAAAACGCTGTAGATCTCTTCAAGGGTTTATTATTAATAATTCAACGATATTTGTAAAGATGTTTGTTTACACAAAAAACCACAAATTACGCGTATATTTATTAGAATTACCACACACAAAATACGATCACTAGTTTCTTTAATTACGCGCTTCACACAGTACTTTATCACTTGTCTTCACTATTCGCACCTTATCTCTTCGGTGTTAATCTCTCGGAATCGCACTCGAAACTGAATTCACGGGTTGCGTTTCGGCTCGCTTATATTTTTGGTTTCTGAAATCGTCTCTAAATGGTGGAAAAATCGAGAAACATTTCAGTCAACTCATCCTCGTAAACAGTATTATTGCAATCTTTTGCTTCACCTACTAACAAGAAAAAAATGAAAGTGAATTCTATAGAATTTTGAATCTAGAAAACGTTCCTCTTCCTTAAATCAATGAAACGAATTGCGGGTTATATTTTGTTACTTATTTATTTAGTTTTAAATAATTGCAGTGGAAATATGACCAAGTCCGAAACCGCGTCCTAAAATGGGAGCTAGCCCTCAATCGTCTGAAAGAAACTGCCGCCCAGCGTCACGTGGAATTATGTCACGTGCGTGACGCCATCTGGGGTCTCTACGTGAAAATTAGCAAACAGAAGGGCCTACCGTTGGACGTGTCACCGACGGACTTCGAGCAGCAGCTGGTGGTCGTGATGAGAGCCTTGCTGGAACTGAAGAGAATCTATAGGATTGCGCAGCGCCGATCGAAGGAGAAGTAACTATATAGTGTAGAAATAGATTCACAGGATTGCAAAGAAAACTAAAATATAGTTCTTGAATAATTTTATTCATCCCATTACTAAAGGGGATTGTTGATAGGCAGAATTCCTACTTCTCCTCTAGTAATAAAATAGCTAAAATACTCAAATAGGTTTTTAAGTAAATAATAATAACTCTTTTCATAATTATTAAATAGTGCGTTGATTGAACTTTGCTTATATATTAACAGAAGGTATTTTATGTATATGTGTATAAAACATAACACAGACTTTAATTTTTAATAAATCTCTTCAAAAATTTTTTTTCAGAGACGTCGAATCGATGCAAACCTCTTAAATATTGAAAACTCTGAAACAATGAAGAGGCAGAAATACTTTTCTAATTTTTGTAACTTACTCTAGTTCTTGTTTCGTACAAAATTAAATATTTCACGTTCGATTGCATTTTATTATTATTTTAATAATTTAATTATAGTTTTTAACTCTTTGTTCTCATTAAATATCAGCAAGCAAAGTTTCTAAAACTAATTAATGATAAACTTTGTTAATTGACTTCTAGTTTAAAACAGAACTTTGCACGGGTTAATTATTTGTTTAATTTATTTATACGCTTAACCGTTATAAGCTGAGTTAAATTTAAAAAACTACAGTTAACTATCATTTACTAAAATGAGTGCCACCGAACCGGTAGATCAAGCAAAAAATTATGTTCATTTTATGTTGCTACCGTTAAAAATTGTGGGATGTTGGGAATGGTATCCACACGCCGTAAATAAACAAATTTACGTAAACAATATTTATATCTGCATGGTTTTATTCATTTTGACCAATCTACCTTTATCATTAGTTGTACATTTGTACACGGAATGGACGGATGTTATGTCAAATTTGGACAAAATGGCGGACGGTTTGCCACTTTTTGTATCTATGGCGATTGTAGCGTATTTTGCAATTCATAAAAAAGAGTTGTATGAATTAATCGAGTTTATGAACGTTAATTTTAAATGGCATTCAGCGAATGGACTTACCAATATGACGATGGAAGGAAGCTACAAAACTGCCAGGAATTTCGCTTATTTATACACAGCTTGCACTTTTTTTAGTGTTGCCATGTATGTTGTGTTACCGGTGATTGGTTATTGTAAGTAGAATATTTTTTAAATTACTAGATTCAAATTGTGATATTAATATCGATTTTTTTGACATTTTTAGTACTCTTCAGTCATCCACTCCATCCATGGATATATAAGGACGTCGAAGGTGGTCTGTTTATATTTTTCGTATTTTTACGACAATGTGTAGCTCAAGGATTTGTGGCTTTAGCTATGGGGCAGTTAGGTAAGGGCCTTATAATTTTGTCATATCATGCAATTTTATATTGTTTATTTCATACTAACTATTATTAATCAGCCAATAGGTACCAGATTAAGGTGAAATGTACCAACAAATGCAATTAATAAAATATAATATAGCGAGCAGTGTTGGCCTAGTGGCTTCACCGTGCGACTCTCATACCTGAGGTCGTAGGTTCGATCCCCGGCTGTGACCAATGGTGCTTTCTATATTCTATAAACATCTTGAGGAAACCGGTTTGCCTTAGACACAAAAAGTTGACGGCGTGCGTCGGGTACAGGAGGCTAATCACCTACTTGCCTATTAGATTAACAAATGATCATGAAATAGACACCCCCCTATTATACTCAATTGAATAGTGTAGTTTCTAAATGCAAGGAATTCCGTCGAATGGACATAAAGGGTAAGATTCAGAGTCGAGAGTTACCGCTAACTATGATGCGCGTAAGTCATACTTAACGCTACTCGGATCTAAATGTGAGGGCAACGCTAAATTGTTACGAACAATTTAGCAACGTTGGACCTTTATTTTTAAAAACTGCATATTATGAAACAAATTGAAAGTAGGTAAATATGTCTATGCCAATATGAAATTGTAAATAACCTTACGTTTTAGGTGTATTTTTTGCATGCAATGCCATTCTTCTCTGTGGCCAGTTGGACTTACTCTGCTGTTCCTTGCGTAATGTCCGGTACACGGCTCTGCTCCAAAACAATGTGGCTCACGAAGCTTTAAAACTTCAGGGCTATAGCATTCTAGAGGATGAACAGCATAACTATATGTACAATATTTCGACAGAGACGGAATCCAGCCATTATGATGTTGAGGTTATTTCCCATTTTAAGCATCCTCAAATTAACTTAGATCATGTCACGTCACACAGGTCGATTATTAGGTCTTATCCTAAGATTAGCGATTTACCGCGTGTTATGACTGTAAGGGCTCCCACACAAAACTGCCTGCGATACGATTTAGTGCGGCAAACCGTTTGGTAGGGCGCCCATTCCTTCGTAGTCAGCCGTACTGGACGTGTTTTTAGGAAGCGTAAGATGGATCTAAAAAAGATTATTGCACTGCTGTTATTGTTAAATAGATACCTATAAAAGAAAAAGAAGATTCTGGAAACAAACTTTCACAGACGCTCTTCCACGCATCTTGCTTGATATAGTATATTTCATTACAAGTGCGGAAAGCCTGTCATTGCAAAGAGTTTCGACAAATGTCTACCCGAGCCGAGGCGCAGCCGAAGGTGAGGGTTGACAGTCGGAACAAGTTGCAATGACGGTTCCGCACGTGTACTGAACAACTATTTTTAATACAGTTGCGAAAAAATTATGCAATTTAATAAAATAATAAAAAAACAATAAACTCAACTCACTAATCATTTATTTCTTATACAAATTATTGTTCACATATACATTGGTACAGTTTTTTATACTAACTGGAGAAGTTTTAGGTTGCATATTTATTTACTGTTTGAGACAAACTATTATTTATTTCGTATGATTTTTCATGTATTTTTAATATATAATATAACAAACAACTAAACGCGCAAAGAACATTTTTGGAAAATGGCGCCAACCGTAAAAGAATATAAGCAGATTTTTTTTTTCTTCACCCATTCTGGGTAGGCAAAGGGAACTATGCCCATACAGCCAAGTCTTCAGTACAATTTTTTATTGATATGAAATGAAATTTAAGGAGATGAAATGAAATCTAACCTAACTCATTGAATCAAATCATTAAATCTTATATTGAAACAAAGCAGTAGCTTCTTTTTAGAAACATTAGCATGAATCATAAAAAATTCTATGATTTTTTTTTAGTAAAAACTTCGTGGTTGGGTTTTTCTTTTTAATAGACATTATTTTGACAGTTGGGAAAGAAAACGCAATAGTTCGGAAAAGGTAAAAAAAAGCACGAGTGTGTAATAGCCCACATCCCAAACGCTATACGTCCCTGCAATACGACACTTTTTGAGCAACTGTATTAAAAAAAAAAAAGGGTGCGTGTACTTATGTACGCGCGTAAGAAGTTATACTTCTTTGGCATTATTAAAAATAGTTTGGCTTTGTTCCACCTCCAGTTTTTGATGTTTCACAGCGATAAGATGACAACTCTTTTTTTGTATTCAATTTAGTGCACTTACACTGATTCATCAATTGTTTTTTGTCTCTTGTCCTTATATTTGCTAGAGAAAAATTACATGTTTTGATTAAACAATGTGGTAATTTTTTTAATCAAAACATTACTCGATAATAATAATACAAACTGATATTTAACCTCAATTGTAATGAAGCACTTAGGAAGGTTGATGAGCAGTTTTTTCACAAATATTAATTAGTATTGGTTTAAATATTCAATTTAAATCACTTCTGATTATATATAATTCAAAAAGCATTGCTAAATTTCTTTGAAAAAATAATTAAAACTCCTTTATTTGTTTAAAAGGTAAATGACAAATGTCATTATGGTCATTCAAAATTCTTGGCATACGAACTTCACGCATATTCTATTTCTTTTTACTTGTAGATTGTCTTATTCCTATCTCGCTCGCGCACGCTATAATCACACTCCTAATTTTGTGTCACGGTGCGCGCGCATCGTAAAATTTCACTCTCATAAATTTTTCATAACGCGCCTAAAGAAGTATAACTTCAAAAATATTTTTATAACGCCGCGCGTTTTTCTCTAAAGCTGTCTCAGAGCGGACTAAAATGGCGTCACCAAGGATGACGTAATATGGGTGGAATGTGCGATGCGAAGTAGATCGGAAATTCTTGCGGTGCGTTCGTGCGAATTCGCAGATATTTGCGATGCGATGCGAATTCGCGGTTTTGTGTGGGACTCATGGGAGCCCTAAGACATTTTTGACATTGATTATTTAAAAAGAATATTTCCTGACAGCTGGATTAGATCACAGGGCTATCACTATCTTTAAAATTTAAATCGTCTCTCTGTAGGGAAGTATACCGATCTTAAACCTTAAATCTGGACCTTTTTAATATGCAGGCAATCGCGCCTACGGGACCGCCAAAAAAGGCGATGAGTGCCCTTGCCCATGGACACCAATTATAGTGAAGTTGCCTGACTTTAAGCGAGGACTTTATACTCTTTCTTTAAACAATTGGAAGAAGTATTTCCCCCAGTGGGAGTCGATTCCACAGTTCGCTAGTTCGCAGTATAAAATGTCTTGTGAAGACTTCCAACCATCAAAGTGATACTGATGAAATGTACGGTGTTGAAACGAGGCAGGAGGGATCCACCCAAACCACTCTTTTTAGTTAATTTCTATATAGACAATAATTACATCTCTACAGTTATATATTTTTCAGTTTATCCAGCACAGAAAGAAACGACGTTTCGGTAAGTTAATATTTTATAAAAATTTTTGAATAGGTAAAAAATTAAACTCGCGTCAGGACACGTGACCTGATCGAAAATTCGTTAGACGGATGGAGAGTAGACAGCTGGCGCGGCGTATTTAATGTAATATAAATTGTCATGTTTGTGTACGATAGCGCAATAAATAAATATTGTATTCTACCACATAAATGATAGTAATTTTTTACTGATAATTAAAGCAATTCGTGCAAAATTATTCCCTAACCATTCAAAAATGCACAACGTTAATATTCAAGTTTTCACTTTTGCCAGCACTCCCGGAGTGCAACCCGTCGTTTTTTTTTAATTTCATTGATTTCTCCGAAAATAAGTTTTTTTTATACTAAGTGTGAATATCGCTTAAAATCTGGCGAAGTTACGCATGTTATACATAATTATAGATATCTACAGTAAACAATATGATGATGGAACTGCTCGTGCGATACTAGAGTGCGCACGCGTCTGTCAAGTCGTGAAAGAATATCAAGGCAGATTTGAGACATTTTTGTCGCCGCTACTTGCGTTGCGCGTTGTACAAGTTACTCTATATCTATGTACTCTTTTGTATGCGGCTACATTGGTAAGTATTCGATTTTAGAATATAAATATATATGTGAATCTTAATTCGGTACTGGCAAGAAACGTTCTATAGAATATTTTATCAAATTACAAGGAAGTCAAGAAACCAATATGGCCGCAAGTATCCAAGTATAGGGTTGGACCAGCAAACTTTCATTTTATGTTAAGTGTTTCCGTCGCCCAAAGCCACTCAATGCCAGAGGGCTCGCCAATGTGTTGCCAGACTTTTAAATTATTAATTGGTTCGGAAATACTTCTTTTTGGTGCATAGCAAAAACTGCTTTTCAAAACGCTTAGACGACGTCGAGGAGACACGGGTAGAATTTCGTATTCTGCCTCGACGTCCGATGATGAAACAAAACTCTACAAAGATTCCCAAATAAGATGCTCCAATACACTTTCTTGATACGCCCGCCAATTTCGACATCCTAAACCGCAACAAACTAGTTTTTTAACAAGGGTTTCAGCAACTTTAAGTAGTGAGAATTGATTGAAAAGCATAAATAAATTACTTTTTAAAAAATACGGGAATTTCAGAAATTCGATATGGTCACTGTGGAATATCTCGGTGCTGTTGCCCTGGACATATTTGTCTATTGCTATTTTGGAAATCAGATTATTTTACAGGTAGATATTAGAAGTCTACTTAATTTACACAGCCCTTTATTTCAAAAATACTTTTCATAAATGTCAGCAAACTATTAAAACAGTCAACTCCCAAAATTTTATATTTGCATTATACATTTCTCATCACATGTATAACTTACTAAAATTGAGATTTCATATTATAGGCAGATCGCGTATCAACAGCGGCCTATCAAAGTGCCTGGACAACCATGGGTGTGGCCCCACGGCGTCTCTTATTAAACATGCTGCTTGCTAATAGAAGACCAGTCATAATGCGTGCTGGCAGATTCCTTCCTATGAATTTGCATACATTCGTTTTGGTAATATTTTGTTTATAAGGTTTAAGGGCACCAAATGGTTTTCATTTTGGGCGTCCCCTATGAAATAAAAAAAATTATAATCATCTTCCCAGTTGCGAGGCAAACATTACACACAAGTAGACTTCTAACTAAACAATTTTTGTTTGGATTCTGGTTGGTGGGCATCGAACCACTACAACCTTCAGAATACAAAGGACTAAAATAATGTGAAAAAACCAAACACCCTTATTCATAAAAAAGTTAATTGGCCCGTATACACTACATTACCTATCTCTTTTTATCACATCGTTAACACAATTGAACAAAAAGAGTACATGGAAATACACAGTATTTATGACTAAGGGAGTATGCAACTATAAATTTAATTCCTTAACAAACTTTCAAAAGCATGTATCTTGTTAATTCATCAAAATTTTGTTTCAGATAATCAAGACATCATTTTCATACTACACACTATTGGTGAACATGAATGAATCATAATAAAACAAAAAATCTCTTCAGAAATTATTTTATTTACGAAATTAATATACAATATTGTTCATAATAATCGATTAAAGTTGTTAGCCGCTCAATGTACGCTTTCAGTCTGTTTAAAAAAATCTCAAAACGGTGGAGAGGGCAACACTAAAAAATTCAAATACAGAAGATGAAATTTAAATTACCAATACAATCTAACACTAAAACCGCCAATTTACAAACGGCAACATTTTCACTTAAGTATTATTTATGCGATTTAAATACTGATTGTTGCCAGTGTCAAAATCGCACGATCGCTTAAATTACACGGATATTTGCATAGATAGAGAGAATGAATATTTAAGAGATACATTGTATCGGCTAGTCATTTAATTGGAATATATTTGTGAATGAATCCTAATCCAAATGACCATTTCATTTCTTCTGCATGAAGTTGAACAAAAAAAACCACATTATTCATTCTCTGTGTCTATAGATATTTGATACACAAGCGTACAGATATACAAACTATCGCATACATACACCATTCACAATCCCCATCGAGGCATATCCCGGCGCAAAATAAAAAAATAAAATTTCATCATGCAACACTGGCAGCTAATTGTATCACCGATGTAAAGTACTAAACGCCCAATTAAAAGAAATAAAATATTGAATTTGGAACTTATTTTTTGACTTTGGAATATCATAACTTAGCAAGCACTACCCTCAACATAGGCAGATTATTGACAGTATGTTGATTTTGTTGAAGCGATTAATCAGAAAACCGTTAGAATAACCGGGAAATTTCCAGTCATGTCACGTCTTCACTTGTTTAGTATTTAATTTTTGAAATTATAATGCTGTACAAACTTCATTCAGTACTTTAAATCGATGTCCACTCTGTCTATGCATAGAGCTCAAACCATAGAGTTTTCGTCAACCATAAACGTTTTAACCACAGATTACCTGTAAGGAATGTTTAAGACATGTTATCCGCTATGTGCTTTAACAATTATTATCAAATTTAGTTAATCAAAAATTATTTTTAAAACTGTCAAAGCACATTCATGCACAGACAGAGTTCTCTGAACACAATTGTCCAGCAATTGTTAAAACGCACCAGACATAAAAGAGAGCGCGTTCATCATAAATTACATCAAATTTAAGTCCATACAAATTCACCTGTTACTGATAGCCTACGAAATTAACATTAATATAAATTATTTGGGGTAATTCATTTTAGAATTTTACTCCCAATAGATATTGCCAATACAAGGATGAGTATACGAGCGTTTAAAATATTTCGTACGCTATCAATAATTAAGTCGCGAGTAAGCTTAGTGTAACGGGAATCCATGCGGGTAGAGTCCGATGCTCTCTGTCAGGGGCTAGCTGGAGACGGACAAACAAACACATCAGTATTGAGGGACCAATAATACATTCAACAAATATACCTATAATAATGAAGGGGGGAACTGTAAAACTTCGAAACCGAGCTGATTATAATTGGACATTTGGACGTAATAGACGTCACGTCCGATCAGAATCAAAAAGCACTGTTTTTCGTTTTACATTCCCCTGGAAGACGTAACGAATAAAAATTTGAACGTATAGATTTGTGTTATGGTAAATTCTTCAGACTTCAGGGTATCAATATGAATAACAATCACACCGCAAATCATGTTCAGTACAAAATTCATTATGTACCCTAGATGCGTTTAGCTGGAATATTCTAAATATTTTTTTGAAATTTAAAAAACGTAACAATTTTTTTAATAATTTTTCAAACTAGAAAAATGTTTTGACCTCACAATGTAAAACAATAAATCGTTTGATTATGGTATATATTATATACAGGCAAAACCGTTTACGGCGACATCGTTCTGATCGCCGATGACAAGCAATTCGACCAATCACAATTGAACGAACCGCGCCAACGTTTCTTCTTTTGTTTTATCCAGGTTCTTTATTCAAAATAAAATTTGTAATTTCTACAAATCACATCTAGTATGAAGCAAAGTCTATAAAAATGACAATTAACAAAGACAAATCTACATTTCCAGCTTAATTACGCATCAGGTTTCGTTCTCGTATATACTTTGAATATAACTTCGTTTGTCAATACTCGGATAATAGATGTATCTTTTGTTAGTGACTTTTTCAGTCAGAGTTATCTCGAAAACGAAGGCTTAATGAGGTGAAATACCAGGTTAAATGAGTTCTACTTGCTCAACACTTCGACATGTTCCAGCTGAAAAATAACCTAGAGTGAGGTTCTAGTACAGTATGAATGTCGATAGATGAAATTGGCATTGTTCAAAACTGAACTGAACTATTTGTTTGTTTCTCTACCACATTGTATCGTTTACACGTTTACGTCCACGCATATATATTTTTAATTTTTAATCCATCTGCAATCAGCCTCTTGGCTTTTATCAGATAAAACATATCATCTATATTTTACATACAAAATATTTGTTAGTGTGTCACAAATTTTAAATTATTTCCCGTTTAGGTTCATACATCTACAGAGTATGGCTCAAGATTTTGATACAAAATGTATTACTACTATGTATAGTAATGCTACCATTTTTATATTATTAAAGAAATTATGGAATTTATCTGTTCTTACGAATTAATTATTGTTTTGCCAATGCCAATTTACCTAGTAAACCTGCAATTATTAATTACACAATATTCACAAATGTATGTTAGAATCACACCCTTCATTGTTGATTTATATAAATTAATATTTTATACATAACAACACAATAAGAACTCTTAACTTTGTAAATATTTATTATTGGATAAGAACAAACAAACACTATATAGTGTATATAAGGAAGCGTTCAAGTATTACGTAACAAAATTTTGGGTCCTTTTGTAAAACGTTACGATGCGGGGCGGGGATTGAATTTCGACTTTTCAGTACTAGTACACCACATAATGGTAACTTTTAGGTATAAAGTCACTAGGTGATCACGAAATGTTTTACTATACTTGGGTACAGAAAAACGTTACGGCGCGTTACATTTATCAATAATCTCCAAAACTTGATTTTAAGATCCATAAGGTCGAAAAAAAATAACCTTTATTCTTATATATAATAGAAGGCATACGGGCAGAGCCTCCCCTGATTTTCAGTGATACCAAACATAACGTTTAAAAAAACGAAAGAATGAAATGAAAAAAGAAGAATTAAATAGTAGTCTCGCAGTCTTAAGCTGCTGGCCGAATCAAATCAAAGTAAATTTGAAAGGTGCATTTTTTTATTAATGAAAGAGGATACATCATTTATTATCTTAATGTATTGTAGTGTGAGGGGTATAGTGTAGCGTACTCACTTCTTCTTGTTCTTGGGCTGAGCTCGAGGCGGCGTGTTGGGTCTCCCCATGTTGAGGCCGGAGTAGAGTTTGCGCTTGTCTGCCGGCTTCAGGATTTGGAACGAGCACATCAACGTCTCGTCCACCGACATCAGTGCTCCTGCAATTTCACAATTTTAATATGAGTAAGTTTCATAAAAATATATATTGTTTATTTAAATTTTGGACGTGGTAAGTGACGATTTGTTTCGTCGCTGTAGAATGAAACCTCGTACGTCCAGCGGAAACAAAAATATTTTTTGATTTCGTCAATGTTCGTTAAAATATTATTATGTGCTTTTGTCCATAGTTTTGGATGGTTAAAAGGTAATGATTCTACCAGTTAAATGACATGAGTCTAAGAATACAAAATAAAGGGTTTTTTGTATCGAAAAAACACCCCAATTTCAATTTTTTTTTTATGTGATAGGAGGTAAACGGGCAGGAGGCTCACCTGATGTTAAGTGATACCGCCGTCCATGGACACTCACAATGCCAGAAGGCTCGCAAGTGCGTTGCCGGCCTTTCAAGAATTGGTACGCTCTTTTCTTGAAGGACCCTAAGTCGAATTGGTTCGGAAATACTTCTGTGGGCAGCTGGTTCCACATAGTGGTGGTGCGCGGCAAAAACTGCCTTAGAAAACGCTCTGTTGTGGAACGACGGACGTCGAGGTGATACGGATGGTATTTTGTATTTTGCCTTGACGTCCGATGATGAAACTCAGCTGCAGGTATTAGACCGAACAACTCCTCTGAACACTCTCCATGGTAAATGCGGTAGAAGATGCAGAGAGATCCCACATCTCTACGCAGCGCCAAGGGATCAAGCCGCACGGAAAGTGACTGGTCGTCGACGATTCGAACCGCTCTTCGTTGAATACGGTCAAGTGGAAGGAGCTGGTACTGGGGAGCTCCCGCCCAGAGGTGAGAGCAGTACTCCATATGCGGCCGAATTTGCGCTTTATATAGTTGCAAGCGGTGGCCCGGAGTGAAGTACCGTCTCGCCTTGCTGAGCACACCAAGCTTTTTGGAGGCTAATTTAGCCTTTCCTTCCAGATGACCGCGAAACTGAACGTTATTCGATATGTCAACGCCCAGTATTCCGATGCTAGCTGAGGCTTTAAGGAGAGTGTCTTCAAAGAGGGAGTAGCGACAAAGGGAGTTTTTTTAGCGGAAAACGCGCATACTTGTGTCTTCTTGGGGTTAAATTGGACTAGATTTAGTCTACCCCAGTCCGAGACTCCACGTAGAAGAGTTTCGACTTCAGACACAAGTTTGTTCCGGTACTCATCGACAACAGCCCGAGAAATACCTGCCCGGCCAGTGTAAAAAGTATCCCCAGTGCTGTCGTCCGCATAGCAATGAATGTTGCTAAGCTGCAACATATCATTGATATGCAGAATAAACAGGGTCGGGGATAGGACACAGCCTTGTGGGACACCAGCATTCACAGGTTTCAGGTAGGAGCATGCTCCGTCGATGACGACTTTGATGCTCCGATCAGCGAGGAAGCTGGAAATCCAGTTGCATAATTTCTCAGGGAGCCCGTAGGCTGGAAGCTTCGAGAGCAGTGCTCTGTGCCACACCCGATCGAAGGCTTTCGCTATGTCCAAACTTACCGCCAGCGCCTCCCCCTTGGACTCAATTGCCTCTGCCCACCTATGTGTAAGGTATACAAGGAGGTCCCCAGCTGAGCGACCACGACGAAAGCCGTACTGAGAATCGCTAATCAGCTGGTGGCCCTCTAGATACCTCAGGAGCTGGCTGTTAATAATGGTTTCCATTATTTTGGAGAACAAGGAGGTTATAGCTATTGGGCGATAGTTGGACGGATCAGAGCGATCGCCTTTTTTAGGGATCGGATGTATCGAAGCGATCTTCCAGCACTTCGGAACAGTGCCGAGCGTGTAAAGGTACCGGAAAAGGCGCGTTAGGACCGGAACCAACTCAGGAGCACAAGTACGCAGCACAATTGGAGGGATGCCATCGGGCCCGCTCGACTTATGGATGTCCAAGGAAGACAAAGCTTTACGGATAGCACGTTGCCGGAATATAACTTCGGGCATCGTAGTATCACACCGCAATAATGTCGGTGGTTCCTTCCCTTGATCATCCAAAGTGGAGTTCGACGCAAAGAGACAGCCTAGAAGATCGGCCTTCTCTTTCGCGGTATGGGCCAGTGAGTCATCCTCCCTATGCAGTGGTGGAATTGAGGGCAGACAGAAATTCCCTTGGACAGCTTTGGCAAGAGACCAGAAGGCTCGAGTTCCCGAAGGGAGGTGGGCCAATTTCTCACCAAATCTGGCAATGTGCTCTGACTTTGCTTTAGCGATTTCTCGCTTGAAGGACCTGGAGGCTGAATTGTATGCTTTTTCGTTCGCCGATAGTCACATCACAGGATGTCACCGCTTCTGCCCAGGCTTTAAAGCATTCACGCTTACGGCGCAAAGCCGCTTTGCAAGAACGCCTAAACCAAGGCTGGGACTTGCCACCGACCGGCACCGCAGAGAATGGAATAAAGAGTTCCATACCCTGCAGGACCACCTCGGCGACAGAGTCAGCGACGGCATCTGGAGTACTCGACGAAAAGCAAATGGGCCCCCAAGGGTAGGACGCAAAAAAAGACCGCATCCCATCCCAATCTGCTGACTTATAGTGCCACACGCGGCGACAGCCCGTGAAGCTAGGCCGAAGAGGGCGCGTGAACGGCACAATGCTCCGGACCACACAATGATCTGATGAACCCAATGGCGGTTCAACAGAGACTTGGTAGTTCTCCGGATGTGAAGTCAGCAGAAGGTCCAACAAAGAGGGTTTATGACCATCCACATCTGGTATTCGCGTAATCGCAGGGACCATTTGCGTCAAGTCGTAAGCCAAAGCAAAGTCGTGAAAGGATCTTCCCGCATGATCGGTGGTTTCTGAGCCGAGCCAATCGGCATGGTGGGCGTTAAAATCGCCAAGTATCACGATTTCAGCGGTAGGAACCCTTTCGAGCAGGGAATTTGTAGCCATTTGGATGTGCTCAATGAGTCGGTCAGTTTCGGTATTTCCGCTATGGGACCTATACAGGCATGCGTAGAATCGCGGATGGTCATCGCAGTCTACGCGCAGCCAGAGGTTAGATAGGTCCCTTTCTTCAAGCGTCCCGAGGCGACGAGAACAGATATCCTCTCTGACGTACACGCAAACTCCCGCCCGCGGCACAAATGAATGTTCCAATTTGTACACCGGGTAGGAAGTATCAGCCGGGGGGGATATCTGAGTCTCGGTAAGAAAGAGCAAGGCCGGCTTCGCAGTCTCTAAGTGGTAGTGGACAGCGTTGATGTTGGAATTGAGCCCCCTTACATTTGTGAAGTCCACGGCGAGTGTGGACGGGGGTGCCTTTGTTAAATTGCTCCGTTTGCCCCGAGAACGATTAATGTTTTTACCGAGCGCAGAATTGCCCCCCCCAGAATACGAAAGGCAGCCTGTGCGTCCACCACCGGGCGCAGAGTGTCCCGGTGTTGGACGCCCAGAGGGGGATTCTCCACCGCGAGCGCGTGTGGTACCCTGGGGTAGATTCTGTTTTTTTTTCTGCACCTTCATATTTCTTGTGGGGGGGGAAGGGCTCCGGGAGCCTCTCTCTCCGCACGAAACGCGAGTACAATAAGGCGAACTTATTGCATCACTTCACGCCGGTTTTCTGAGAGACAGTGGTACTGCCCCGGTCGTGCCTGCCCATTTGGCTGAAGCCCGAAGGCAACAGCATGGCACTCCCACTAGGAAGGGGTTGACTGATTGCGCTGATGAAATAACCTCTGTCACAGGTTATTTCACCAGTGGGCGATGGGGTCGTCACGTCCCGACGCCGACAAAATCAATTTTCAATCAATCAATTTTCTCAATTCAATAGAGAAGACGGCCTAAAATTGTCAAACACCTGGGATCCAATAATATCCAAATTAAATTCTCAAAAAGAAAAACAATCCGCGAAAATAAAGGACACCGTGAGCCATTTTTGCCAAAACCCTCCATCTTTTAGTCGATACCAACTCCGGGGAAATAAATACAGATAATGCAACTTTCTCTACAGCTGTGATACTTTTTGACATCCAACACCTTTTGTCTTCAGTAACCGTGACCACGCACGCTATAAAGCACGCGAAACGTCGGATAAATTTAAAATTATGTTAAATAATTGTAAATTTATAATAATACATAACTTTAATCCGGTAAAAAGTTTTTTCTTTAAATGTGTAAAGGTTATGTCAATCAAAGACAATATTAAATTAGATAAGGGAAGCGCAAGAAGTGCAAAAATATATAAGACATGTTATTGTTACTTTGACAAAACAAAGAAATTAAAACATAATAAACAGTTATCAGGATAATATTAAAAAAGGACACATGAAAAAGAAAAAGTGCACATGAAACAGTGTGTGTGTATTATACCCCTTGAACCCGTACCCGTACCTATTGAAAAGACAAAACGTTCTCTTACCAGCATTATCAAACTCTCCACAATAGTTTGGAGCTGAGAAGAGAGTGACAAGTTGCCGTTTCGCGAAGAACTCGTATCCGTCTTCGACGACTTGATGGGCTCGGCAGATGAGGTCGAACTCGTGCTTTGATAAGAATTTGCCCACAATCTGTAATACAGTTTCACCATTTATATGAAAACAATCTTTAAATAATTAAAGTTGTAATAATAGGAATCTAAGTAATTTTACGGTAAATTTGTCGAATCACGGCTCTACCTTAAAACAGTTTTTTCTACATATTTTCACCACACGGCAATGGTGTAACCCCATAGAAATTAAGTAAAACATAATGAATTGTGAAATGAATGAAGGAAGAAGGTACAAATGTTTCTAATTTTTAAGGGGTCCAATGCCATGTGCCTCCATAATATTACTTGGGGTACATTCATACAAGTCGTAAATAACGATAGAAAAAAATTTGGAGCTGTTATAAGGTGGAGCCGTGATTCGGCAAATTTTACTTTTTTCCAACTTTAAAATACAACAACCAACAACCCAGCTAGAAACAACGCGTTACGCATTTTATACAACTTTTAAAATTTACAAACGTTTCAAAGACTACTTTTGTTGTTAACAATATCCGATAAATTGAACTTTGCGATTTTGTGTGTAACTAGAGATTTTTTTCTTGAGAACATCCCAAACAACATACTAACAACCAGTTAAAAGTGATTATTTTTCTCAACTTTTCTATCTCGATATCGACGGTAATAAATCCTTTGGCCATGACAGTTTCCGCTCTAACTGAGACGTGCAAACATCCGCCACTTTCACGCGTTTCCGTATATATTACCCGTGATAGCATAATACAAGTTCAAACGATAATTATGATTGTTTATTACATAACTAGCTTACATTATCTGACCAAAAACAACAGGGAAACCAAAAAAAAACTTTAAATACCTCTAATATTTTAACTTTATTCCCATGAAAAAAATAAATATTTATAAGTAATATATTTAGTAATTTATAAGTATTGCACGTCGCCACCTTCAGTCTTATGCTAGAGTTTGTATCTTTAATGCTCTTTCATTAATGAAAAATGGTAATATTGCGAATATTTGACTAATTAATCAACAAAACCCTCATAGTTTATCGATTCTTTAAATAATTTGTGAACGGCTAAAGCATGATAAGCACTATCTCGACTTGTTGTGTGTGTATGTTTGATGTGCGTATATTTAAAGCGACTATGAAGAGATTTAGAATCTTTTGAATTAAAATACAGGTGCTATAAACAGAAAGTTGTTTTAACATTACTTTGGTTTCTTTGTAGATTTTTTTAAATATCTAAAAAATAAACTAAACGGTTATTCAACTTTCTAATAACGACGTTATGTAACGTTGCCTTCCTCCAACAAAAAAATAATTTTCAAAAGAGTTCTAAAAAAGAAAAAATTAAAGTCGCCGTCACAAAGTACATGTTAACTAAAATATTTGATACTACCCGTAAGAATTGCATTTTTCAAATCATTGTGTCAAATGTATCGTCAAAATATCCCACCTCTGTGCCAAAAGTAAAGCTGACACCACGGTCGTTTTCACCCCATCCAGTGACATCCTTGTCTGGGTCGGACCAAAGCAGGTCGCAGAGCAATCCCTGGTCGGGTACATCTGTTGGACGCATGATTCTGCGGATCTGCTCCATCGCTTGTAGGTCCGGAGATAGCCCGCCGTGGCAACAGAAGATTTTCTCGTCAACTGAAATTTAAGAAAATACCTTAATTAACATGAAACATAAAAAAATACTTAATTATAAATAATCGCCACCGTAGAACGTGTATAACTTCTCTTTAATCGATAAATGTATAAAGCAAGTTGAGCAATGTTGGCCTAGTGGGTTCAGCGTGCGACTCTCATCCTTGAGATCGGTGGATTAATCCCCGGCTGTGCACCAATGAACTCTCTATGAGCGCATTTAACATTCCCTTGAACGGTAAACATCCAGATGAAATATTACCTTAGACCCATAAAGAAAGATTGACAAATGATCATGAAAGATACAGAAATCTAAGGCCCCGACCGAAAAAGGTTGTAGCGCCATTTAATTATTCAATTTTATTTTTATAAAGATGCATCTATCTCAAAGGCCTTTTCAGCCTTGGAAATCGATCCAGGCGGTGCCGAATCAACAACCGTTTAAATCAAATGAAAAGTTCTCTTCAACCAGAATGATGTGTACTTATAAAAATTATTGAAAAAATTGGATTTTTTAACACGAATTAAAGAATTCTTATTACCTCTAATAACTATTATTTATTGATTAGATTTATAAATTTTGTGCCGTTATGTTTTGTTCTGTATAATATTTTTTATTAGTGAAACTTTTTGTGGATACATCCAGTGTTTATTTTTTAACTTTTTTTATTATATAGAGATTCTGTTTTGTTTCCCAACTAAATAAATAAAATAAACTAATGGATGTGTCTGAAAAGAGTAGTGGGGATTTTCTCCACCGCTCTAAGCCCTTCATTTGGGAACTAGTAGAAAATGTAAACTACCTTCCATTTTAATATTATCCATAAGTTTACATACGAAAATAAATAAATAATAATTTAATTTGTCCGCTTCTCCCAAAACATACAACTTATTAAGGCTTACAATAAAAGCCGTTTGCACTAAACGTTTAACTACGTATACAGCTAAGCTAAAGTAGCTTATAGTAAACAGAAGCCTTATTTATTTTTAGCCTTATTATTTAAAACCAGCGTCAATAATGCATCAAAACAATATTTATCAGTATTGGCGCCGCATCACGGCGAGTCACCGTCGTCGTCTAGACACACGATAACCCTGGTGTCAACAAGCCAAGTCGATACATAGAACATTCTAGAATACTTAGCAAAAATTCTTTAAGCTTTCACATTTCGTCGAGATTTTATATCGTCACCGTTATGTAGATTTAATATAGAAAGCGAATATCAGCTGTTACTGATACTTCCAGTATATCTCGGTTGTGGAAACAAGGCGGATGGTCCTTTTATACATTTAATATAAAAAATTCTCTTGCCACAATGTTCGTTCCCATACTCCTCCGAAACGGCTCGACCGATTCTTATGAATTTTTTAATGCATATTGAGTAAATCTTATAATCGGCTACTATCTTGCAAACCCCTTAGTGATAAGGGGTGTCCAACCCAAAGAATTTTTTTATTATTATTTATTTATGATACAGCAGCATTGATATACAAAAAACCCAAGATGCACAGTCTCGAATAAAAGTAACGCTCGAAAGTGTCCCGAAACACTATTTCTGTCTCTTTCTATAAGTTACAAGCATATATTATTGCAAAATCAACCTTACGCGAATTATTTAAAGTTGTTATTACAACGCAGTGTACTTACAGCAATAAAATTTTCGACGACCGTGGTCGGTAGGACAAGGTATTGAGTGGAGTCGAACATGACTTTTTTATTTACAACTATTTAACATAATTTTAAATTTATCCGACGCTTCGCGTGATTTACAGCGTGCGTGGTCACGGTGACTGAAGACAAAAGGTGTTGGATGTTAAATAGTTGTAAATTTATAATAATACATAACTTTAATCCGGTTAAAAAGTTTTTTCTTTAAATTAAAAAAAATATTAAATTGGCTACCTCCTGACCTACACTTTATACAGCGTAAATATATTTGTCAAAAACTACACACAAAATAGTTCAAAAGTACATAAATTTATTGATAAAAAAAACACAAATAAATAACATCGACTCCACTTATTAGAACAGGGTCATTCTTATAATGCGACTAAAATAAAAAGAAGACTGTAATGCGTTGTTCTAACACTGAACAAGCAGCCATTGAAGTTGGCCGTATAGAAGTTTGTGCGTTGAATGAAGTTTTTAGAAAAAATAAATAAAAATCACACATTGCTTGTTATAATCAGTCATAAAAACAACAAAAACTAATCAATAAAGTTTTTTAATTACCGAAAATACGATATCCCATCCTTTTTTAGCCTTCTTGACGTTATATTTTTACAATTTCTCACAGAACACTGACATTTTTAACAACTGCTCCCAGACGCGAGCGACGCGAGACTATTTGAAATGAGCGCACAATTTAGAATGTTGCGCTCATTTTTTGAGGACGTTTTTTAGACGTTGAGTGTGCATCTTGGGTTTTTTGTATATCAATGTACAGCAGCATACAAAAATACATTAAGTATAGTAGATAGTTAAAATATTTTTTAGTATAGTAGACATTTTATTGAACTAAAAAAATGTTTCCTAGAAATAATATAGATGGCGTTAGACGGGTCAGCAAGTATTTATATATTCACGACTTTACCCAGGTTAGACAGTGACCACGGATTTTCTCTTGGTACGTTCCTGTCATGCCTCTCTCGCTTCATACACTTTCATGACATCTACCAAGCTTATGAAAACTATATTATAATAACGTAATATATACGTCTAGTTAGGCAAGTAGTGTTCACTTGGAAAACGCGGATTTCGTGGTTTTTGCTAAGATTAACATCAACATCCTAAACATTTGCTTCTTAATTCTCAGTAGTCAGCTCGGTAATCGCGATAATACAAACGGCGGCCTTTAATTATATGTAAAGTAATAAGAGCACTTTGACACCAAAGTGACAAATTTAAATTAAATCTAAAAAAATAATAACGATAGCTACATGAACTAGTTATTATAAAAAATCACCACTAAATTATATCCAATTGACATGCTAACACATTAACCTGTAGACAATCAAGATATAAATTTAGTAATGCTTCAATTATTAAGTATTACGGTTAAAGTACTTTGCTTTACTGCTTGGTCCAAAAATATTAAATCTGTGCTATAAGTTAATCCTTCGCGGCATCAAATGTCCAATAAAAAGCTAATATTTTTTCGAGAAACAGAATTGAAATTAAACATAATTGTATTAAAAATCGTTTTGCAAGCTTTAAATAACTTCAAAAAACCCGGAGATTTCGAGTACTTTTTTATCTTTTCAATTTCTCGTTAATATACATTTTGTCAAAGCTTTTTACCTCAATAATTGGTTAGACAATTTTCAAGTTCAAATTTTTAATTCTTCGAAATAGACAACGGGAAACAGCTCGTTTGATTTATTAGCGGAATCTTATAACGACTTCCTTCCTAACTTAAAGCTCCGATATACAAGGTCACAATAGTTTAGGTTTTCCTGTTATCTTGGGGAATATTCTGTCGGATTCAATTGTTTTTATTTCTAATAAAAACGATTGTAAGTTGCCTAGAAGTTTTAGCGTCCGACCGATTTGATCAGACATTATTATATCATGTCATCTAACACATATTGGACTTGATTCATTGACCAATCACAATCGTTGCGTTATAAGTTCAACACTGCCCTATTCTTCTTACTCTGTCTTTTTCATAATTACAAACCGTTTATTTGCAAAGAAAGTGGTACATACATTCAAATTGATTAATTATAAAAAAAAACCCCATGTCCTTGTTCGAAGTAGTTTTTCTATAGGTAGTGTGATATCAATAAACTTGTGGTGCCGTTCGGTTCAACCCGTTAATTAGATTGACCGTGGTATATACCCTAAGGCCTAAAACCTTGCCGCGATAAATCTACAAAATAATTTAAAAAAAAAACAATAGTTCCTGATTAGCGCTACTCTTCACATTTTAGGTATTGTTTAATACACGATTACCGCATTGAATTAAGGCGTCGAACTGTTCCATAAAGTTACGAAATATTATTACAAAACATGATAGTATCCACTTACCGCTAACAATTACGTTACTAATAAATTAGATTTGAAATCAGTACGTGCTCGTCGAAATAGTTTTGCTATTTGTAATGGTGATGACAATTATAGGTTTAGTACTAAATCAGTTCTGCGAGATCAATTTATATTTTATTTTTTAAAATTATGATTTTTTTTTGTTCGTCATACGTATGCATTACAATTGTTAGAATTTGGGAATCTTTTAAAAGATAACTGTCAAGATTCCAGCTCTCCCATATCAATCTCTTTGTAGACAGTTAAAAAAAATTCAAAAATATATCTTAATATATATAAATCTCGTGTCACAATGTTTGTCTTAAATGGACTCCTAAACTACCGAACCGATATCAATCAAATTTGCACACCGTGTGCAGTTCGATCCAACTTGAGAGATAGGATAGTTTAAATCTCAAATTATAGTAGCAATTTCAATTTATTGCAAAATATTTGTTTATTATTTGATACAATTCTAACAGATGGCGCTGTGTTAAAATTATCAACGTTTCACATAAGCTGTCATCTACCTTTCACATAAGTTATCCTACCGTTTCCCTTGAATAGTTTACTACTATGTAATATAACAAAAATCTTAGCCAGAGCAACGCTTGGCCGAGTCTACTAGTATTATTATAAATATTAACTTTGTAATGGAAGAGACGGGAACCCAAGTTTATTTCACTTGAAAGGGTTCCCAAACCTTAAACATTGTATCTCCTTATAATGAATAAACACATTTTTATTAACTTATTGTACTAGAAGGTCAACTATGTATAGAAATATTTTATCTGCATGTAACTTTAGTTTTGATTATCATTTCATATTTCTCAAAATAAAGTACAGGACAGAAGCAAGAATACACCATATGATAGACGCTTAAAAGACCTAATACTTCTTAAAGACAATATAACAGAACTGTCACAATTCTTTCTAGCCATTAAAATATTATTATTTATTATGTATACGAGAAGAA